CAGAAAGGGGTAAGAGATGTGAATATTGTTGGAAGATGAGTGAAAAGGCTTACAGTTGCTGAGGATGATAAAAGCCATGGAGGAGTGAGAAAGGTTGGGGGGTTTTGGTTTGTGTTGCATCAGTAGGTTTGATAGAAGCGAAGGGTTGGAGCTTTTAGGTCGATTAGAACAAGGAGCACGTTGGATGACATTGATTTTCAGTGCTGTTTTATAACTGAAGTTTATCTATAGTCAGACTTAGTTAGCAGCAAATGTGAACAATTCAGTCTATGTTGGCCACACTTTCAAATACTGATCAGCTGAAGTCGGAGTAAGAGGAATGTTTGGGACATTTGATTGCTGGAAAAGATGTTGTGCATTTTCTCTCTCAGCAGTGGGAGACGGTTGTTTTCAGCAATTGGAAGGCTAGCTTCCTTTATGACCGAGCTGGAGCATTACATACTTCATAGCCAAACTTTCGCAATTGGGTAAAATTAGATCCGATCGTTTAAAACTTCAACACTGTCCATACCTCCAGCAAGCAATCATTTCTTAATAGCCGAGGGTCTCTACATGTCAATAGCTGATAGAGAGAAGTAAGACAAAAGACATATGGCTGAAATTATGGATGACTATGGACTCTCTATGGTAAGTATTGAAGACACGTTGTTTTAGATTTTCATTTGTAAAAAAAAGCTTCAGCTCCCGTCCACTTTACCAATATGTCCAACTGTAATAAATTACTCTGCAACTGTCTTAAGCCTGCTCAGATAATGGAGGGATGGATAATGGATGTTTTTCTAGCGTAATGAAATGTGTGGAAATTCAACACTTTTCATATTTCTTCTCCACTGGCACACATTAATGATGTCACATTATCTCAACATTGTTATCTTAGCAGTCTGAAACCTCAGACCAAACCACTTGATTCATGCTCAGCTGTCTCCTTGTCTCAAATGTTTTTCACATCATAAACTCAGGTGTTTTGCAGAAACACACAGTGTCAAAGTCAAGGAAACACAGGAGGAAGGAGCGGTGACATTGACAAAGTGGGGAGTGTGTAGCAGCACACGTGGCTCCCTCACTACAGGAAACACCTGCTGCACACTGTCAGCAACTTAACCTTTTATCACATAAATCCCTCAGCCGAGGATTAGACGTGACAGAAATGAGACAAGACCTGTTTAGGAGACGGGGGTGACGGGGACAAAGCGAAGAGTAAAGTTGAGAAAGTAATCTAGGTTAGAAAAAGATTTTTGCTGTGGATAAGAATAAGAGAATATCTCTGAGAGGAAATGAAGACAAAAGGAAAGAGCTGACAACCCAGTCTACAAGACGGGTAATTATAGGGATGTGTTAAAATCAGACCCCTCATTAGTTCATGCATCAACGCAACCTGACAGAGCCTTTTGGTGTCAACTTACTTTTAATCAATATAGGCTTTTATATTAATATCGAGGAACAGATGACTATGGGTTTAGCCTGAATGAAACAACTGATTCCAAGGACCCACAGCATCACAACCCTCAGCTATTCACATGTAGAGACCCTCCCCTCTGCCCCCCAGCCGTACTAAACATTGGTCAGGTGAGGTTCCTTTCTCAGGTCAGAGATGTTTTAAAACCCACTCACATAAACATAACTCTGGGTCCTACTGCAATAAAACACAGATTTATTTAAAGTTTTTTTGTGCAAAGAGCTTCAGAATGTCATTTTACTCATTCCATGATCAGTGAGTCAAGTTTATTTGAGCAGCATGGCATGTTTTATGTTTTGCATCATGAAAGTATAAAAAAAGAACAAAAAAACATCACAAACACATTATAGTCAACAGTTGTGAAAACTAGTAACAGTCAATACATTATTACGATCATCAATACACATCAAATATGTTGGTCAGTGTTCCATTTATTGTAGTTCCAAAGTAGCTCTAAACATTTGAGACTTTCGACTTGATTTAAAGGAACTCATCGTTTCAGCTGTTTTGCAGTTTTCTGGAAGTTTGTTCCAGATTTGCGGCACACAAAAGCTGAATGTTTCATGTTGGGCTCTCGTCTCTTTACGTACATACAAAACCCTGATTCCCAACAGAATGCTGCTGCATATTTATCAACGTATGGCATGTCGTGCATCTCTTAGCTCATTTCTAAGCCTCAAATAGAAAACTGTGGTAACTCAAATCTTACCTTTCAATTTTAATACAGTCTCTGTGGACTCAAAACATAGAAGATGTTTCCAATATAATTATTTCCCTTGACAAAAAACAAGAATCTTTCCTTAGGTGTTTTTCTTTCTAAATTTAGGACTCTTCTAGAAAGTAGAGGATGTTGAAGTTAGCACAAGCTTCTTCATTTGCATCCTAACCTTGTTTGGTCGAACAATATAGGAGCTCTCCAAACACAAAATGAACAACAGTGATACGGTGATCCTTGGCAATCCATCCATGAGACCCCAGGAAAGATAAGCCAGTAGATAACAAGTCACCAGATGCACTAGGAATTTTTTTTTTTAGGGTCCATAATTCCACAAAATGTCATAGTAACCACTCTGCTCCTCTGCTGATTCTCTTTAGATCAAAGCAGCCCACAGTCAGACAGATTGACAGACCTTGAATAAAAAGTAAAGTGACTTAATCCCCTGTTGGCAGTTCTGTTGGTTTTGAACTGTGTATATAAAGGATGATGAATGTGCGCTTTCACAGTTGAAAGGCAGCTAATGGAGCAGGGAGACTTGTTAGACAAAAAACACTTTAACAAGGACATGAAAGACACAAAGGACACAGGACTTTTCCAGAATTTACTTCTCCTTCACCAAATTACAGATCAACTGTTATAACCATAATATTTGCCTCCCGGTTTATTATCTCTTGTCATCCAACACATTAAAGAGGGTTGGGGTATTATAGTGTGGCATTTTAGTATTAAATTATCAAATAGCATTATCATTATGATGTATTCTCCATAGCACATATAAACTATACAGATTACAGTTGGACTGAATCTCAATGAGCAATTTTTTTATGTACAGTGGAATATGTAGGAAGAGGTAATTGATTCTTAAACCTACTAACTTTAGGCTTAAGGGTCTGAAAGGCTTAAGGGTCTGAAATTCCGGAAAAAAATTAAAATAATTCTGTGCACTTGGGTTTGTTTAAGGTCTGGGACTGTTTAAGGTGATTCCTGAATGAATCCGATTTATGCCTGAACTTTTTTATGCAGTTAATGCAGAAAATATTTTTTTAAATCAATCTATTTCTGACAGATAAAATTGCACTTTATGCATTCCCTTCTGATATCTGGACTATATTTTCATCTCTGTAATTATGCACCTAACTTTCTTTATGCAGATCTAGATGTTTAGAAGCAACTATGTCCAAGTTTTGAGTAAATATCATTAAAATGTTCCACAAGTACATCAATCAAAGCAGGTCTGGGCCTCAGATTTAGGTTCTCAGAAGTATTCTTAACTATTAATACAGCCCACTCCCTGAATGTTTCTATAATACTGCCTGATCTGAAGCGTGGGCTGAGTGCTGCTCTTGAATGCACTTTTTGCGTTTACTTCTCCCAAAGAAGCTCTGTAGCACTGAATGGTGTTTTACCATTCCATTTGACAGCGTCAGCTTGCTTAAAGTTCTTATGGGCTTAAACACTCAGCCTCCCCAGAGCAGGTTGTGATTGCTTAATCCCAACAGCGACAGGGATTGCTGTCAAAGTTTCACAGAATTTTGCCAAATAACGGGAAGAGAACCACTCGAGGTTTAGATCACCCTGAAGTGTTGACTCGTGGTTCCTGAAAACATCCGTCAGGCTTACAGGACTTTCCTGATTAAATTAATCTCAAAAATTCTGATGCAGCTTTTCTTCACAGCATCACCATGAGTCCCACTGTAACATTATTTCCCCCACATTCAGTTTGAATGCTGCTGCCAACTGTGGACTTATTTCTATCTTTATTTTTTCCCCAATACACAGGGTCATATTCTGTGACAGAGGCCTCACGCAGGTTGAGTTTCACTGCAGTGAGCAGATAACACAAGTCACTGTCTAATTTATTTTATTTCTTGACAGTGCCCACAAATGATTTATTACCTCCTGTCACAGGCTCCTTATTGGGCCACTCCTGTTTAATGAGGCCACATTAGCATAAATATGAAGATGAGGAGAGTGTCCACTAGGTCAGCTCTTCCTCTGCCAACCTTGATTGGTTTGACTATCTTATTTTTGTGTTTGAGAAAAGGCGTGAGGGGGGTTAAATCAAGCAATATTTCACTGTTGTGTGTGAGTGTCTGTGTTAGTCGAAAAAAGAAAACAGATGACCTCACAGCTGTCTAGCAGGAGGAATTAGACTCTTGGCTGCAAAACAAAGAATAACATTGAAATGTGCGTGGTGGTAAATTGGAGAATTGCTTGTTTTTGTGCAGCCAGTTTGACTTTTTAGGTCACAGAAAAAAAAAAGAAAAAAAGAAAACATTACTGAATTGCAAATTTTAATAAGCTACAAAATCATCTTTTATTCAGAGGAGATATTTGTTCTCCAGTGTGTTATACATGAGGTCAGCTGAAACCAATGAAATAAATATTCAATATAATAAGTCAAAGCTGGACATCAGCACCCACATGAATAAAAATGTAATGATTTTTATAGTTGTAGATCTACCTTTACAAACTTGTTTTAAAAATATATATATATATATATATATATATAAATATATATATATATATATATATATATATATATATATATATATATATATATATATATATATATATATATATAGATGGATAGATAGATATGATTGTGTGTGTGTTTGTTCTTTATGATGCTGTTAGCTTGCTAATGTTCCATTTGATATTTGATACCTTCCAAAAGCAGCTGTGTTCATGCTGATGTTAGATTAAGAACAAGGGGTTTCAAATAATCAATCAGATTTTTATAACTCGCATTCTAATCTTTTCAAGCAGGGCAGGTTTTTAAGTGAGCGGTTCAATCTACTCAGGCGGTCTGCGAATGCGTCTCAGTTGTTAGCTGGACCTTCCCGGCTGCCGTACTATAACACGACTTGTTTATCAGAGTAATAAGACGTTCATGCTAAGTGTGTTTGAGTGAGAAACATGTCTGAATATTCACACGTGAAATCAACTAAGCTTGTTCTGAAGGGTCAGAATAAAGGGTAAGTTTTCTTATTTGTTTGTAGCCTTAGTTGTCGAGATGCCGCGTTGTTTGCAGCTATAAATCAATCTCTTCCCTAGCTAGCTTTAGCTAGAGCGTTAGCCTAAGCACTGACGTTGGAAAGCATGAAAGACCTCAAAGAACCTTTAAGATTTAAAATGTCTCCATAATTTAGTGTAATGTGTTTTAGCTATAGCTAAATAACTTGAATCTTGAGAATAGTTTGTTAGTTTATTAGTCAGCCACATGCAGAGCTAACCTGCTAACTGTTAGCTCATTAGTTTGCTGTGTTTTTTTACGCTTATTTTATCATCAGTTGTTTAAGGTGTTGGATTTTGTTTTTACCTTGAAACGACCGCATCTACTGACATATGCAAACTTAGCAGAACGTGTGAAGTTTTGTCTGTTGATGGCATGAGGAATTTGTTCGATTTGATTTGTTTGGGGAAACGTTCAGTGTTAATATGTTAATATGCGCATGATCACAACATGAAGATCGAATTGGATTTTTTTTTCCCAGAAAAAAGAAGAAGCACAAGGATAAAAAGAGAAAATCTGCAAATGACGAAGATAAACAAGATATTGTTGGTATGATCTGTTATTATTATTATTATTATTATTATTATTATTATTATTATTATTATTATTATTATTATTATTATTATTACTACATTTCCATAGTGTGCTTGAACGCTATGAAAGGATTTAGCTCATAGTAGAATCTTGAGTGAACAATGTTCTAGTAGTGCAGTAGAGTCTAAATGTGTCCCAGCTTTAACTTGAGGGAATTTAGTTTGAAGCGAAACGTGATATTTACCAGACTTTAACTGCAGCTTTATGCAGTGTTTTGCTTGCAGCTCTTTAAGTATCTAGATTTGGTCTCCACAGTAAGCAGAATGAAAATTCTGTTCTCAAACTTTTTATTTTCTGAAAGAACTTGAAGTATGTGCCTTTAAATTCTATTCTGTTTTTGTTTCTGCCATGCAGAACTCCTCATCTTACAGTATGTTCCCAGACCTGTTCTCTACATGTAAATAAATTAAACATTGGTCATTTCAATGAATTGTATAATGAAACATTAACTATACTTTTTTTTAATTGCCTGAAAGTCAGTCATATTTTGAAATATCTACCACTGTCAAATAAAGCGCGTGATTAAATTTTTATAACAGTAACTTGAATGACCTGATCCTTTACAATGCTCTACATCCTGCCAGATTTTAATGTACAGAACCACAAGCGAGGCTTTTTTCAATGTATAATTTAACATCTCCATAAAAGATTCAAACTGTACCATGACTGCATTTTTCTTGGCCTCAGACGGTACCTCGGTTTCTCTGCTCCCCAGGTGGTTGGTGGTGTGTCAGTAGTTTCGGAGACATTGCCGGAACAGTTGCCATAGAGATGCAGAACAACTCATACATTCATGCCTTGGATACTGGGCTCTTCACAATCGGCGCGCCACATGGAGGTATGAAGAGAGACAGGGATTATGATGTAATTATTACGTTAAGGGTTTAGTTCGTTCATGCAGTTCATGAGTAGTTTGGTATTCCAGCCAGGCAATTCCATTATTACTATTGGAACTGCACAATATATTTCCTTTGAGTTGGCTTTGTGAAATTAATGTGTGCAATATTGCAATCAGAAAGGCCTATTGAATGCAGTATTTATTAAATTATTATATTTAAAATTGTACACTTTTCAATTCTACATGCAGATGATCTGTGTGGCCTTGATGTCTAAACTTCCTGCAGATTTCACCGACTGAGATCCTAAAGCTCAAGGAAAGTCTTGGAGACATTATAGTAGAAAAATCAGATTAGTTGCAACCAATATTGTCAAAATATCTATGGTATTGCAGATACACATCTTCCGAAAAGCATGCAGCTGTAATTCATATGTATTTCAAACCACAATTATGAAACTTCTTTATTCATGAGCTGATTTATTGTTTTTAATCAAGTTGGTAATTTCAATTGAAATATGTTTGAAAACTCACCACTTTAAATTCAAGAATTTATTACATTTAGTTTAAAACAAGTTTGAATGACTTTTCTAAAGCAGAAATCTAATCTTGGCAGAAAAATGACAACTTTTACTCTAGAGGTTTAATAACTGACAATTATTTCCTGGTTTTTACTGTTATTTACTGTGGAAAAAAAACTTTACTCATTTGTGTTTTTAACACATGAATATGTAAATTATTCATATCACTTTGTTCAATTTTATTTTTACCACATTTGTGACTTTTTTGTTTCATATTTCGTATAGATATAATCAGCATATCGCCATAGAATATGACATCATGAAGAAAACGCTTGTAGTCCATGCAGAGAAAAATATATTAACAATTGATGAATAAAATATTTTTTAAAACCAGCCTTGAATTGTAAAGTACATTTTGAACTTATTGGAATTTATATTCTCTATCAAATCAATATGGAGGGAAAATAAAGTACAGAGCTGATAGCGCCAAGTCATTCTGCAATATTTGTAGAGCCTTGACGAGTTGAGTAAAATATTGATAATAAAAGTTAGAATAATTTAATCTGTCAGTCGGGTTGATTTACTACCAGCTGCCCAGTTTTTCCACAAAAAAGTGAAAACCTAACTTGGGTTTTCTGCCAAGAGAGCTTTGTGGGAATAAAGTTGTCTTCTGGCTTAAGCAACAAAGTAGCTAAAAGTGGAGGTGAAGTCAGATGTCAGGGGAAATGCCTGATAGGAGCCGAGTTGAAGAGAAGGCCAGAGCTAATTCAGAGATATTACCTCCATCTACCTGCAGGCACTTCTGACAGAGTACAGCTCATTGAATCTGTCTGCCCTGAAAAACACCCGGCGCACAATTAATTCTGCCCATGCTCAGCAGGAACATCCAATTCCCTGAGTGAGCCTTCGGTCTCTGCATGCATATAAGCCCATTTGGATGAGATGAAAGGGACCAAAATTGTCCAGTGTAGAAGGAAAGACCACAAAGCCACTCCAACATGTGGTCACAGTCTCTACCAGATTATAAAAATAATTAGCATTTCCAACATAGATTTTATGAGGCGTTTTAATCAAACAACACCAGACCTGAATAATGCATCCTGGGGAATCTCCTCATCCACAACCGCATTGGAGAAACTGAGAAATTCCAGAGAATAATTAAAAATGTATATCTGTAAGCTCAGCGCCCCACCGGACACTGCCACCTGTTGCCATTCCCACACATATCCACTAGGGGGTGCGTTTGACGAGTCTTCTAAATCACCATCAATGTCGGTACGAGTCCAGCTGCAATTCTTAAACGTTTAGCCTAAATCAGACATTCCAAGGAAAGGAAACCACTAGCATTATAAGTGACTTCCTGTTGGAAGGGGGCGTAGTTAAGGTGATGTCACTAAATTATCAGCATATTGTGTTAATTACTGTTTGGTTATGTCACACAGAACATCTAATACAGCTATGAAATTGTGTGGAAATTATTCTACCTTAATGTTTTATGGAAAATGATCAGATTTTGAAGCTTGAACACCTGCACACTTTAATGTAGCAGAAAGATGCAATAAAGTGAAAAGTAAAAAAAATTGCATAACATTTTCTGTTTAAATACTATTTTATTTTTATCTAGATGACAGCTGTTGATCTTCAGCTCCTCTTAAGTCTGTGCTGCAGATTTTCAAGTCTGGATGTGAAAAGCTGTAGGAAGAGTTCACTCAGATAGAACTGAGTGAACGCTACATTTTGGATCAAAATGTAGCGGTTTTGATTCAAAATGGATTGACTATGTGTGAATTTCAGATTATACCTCCAAAAGACTTTTTGTTCTTTGCGGGGGTCTAGATGCGTACCAGGATTCAGACCTCCACTGAATCTTGGTAGAGATCTGACACAGTTTGTCCTCTCTCACGATAGGGGGCGCTGTAGAACAGTTTGGTTACGCCCATTTTCGATTCCACTGGAGTCCAAAAATTTCACACGAGGGAAAATGATTGATAAAGTTTGAGTTTCTAATTATGTTAGATATGTCTTTCAAAAAGCCATATTAGACATTCACAGCACTTGTGCTGCTCAGGCTTAATAGATGAAGTCAGTTTAAACATCAAATGTTAATTTAAAAGGAACATTACGCTACTTGGTTGTATTTTTGTTTTAGATCCAGCGCTCGATCTAAAACTGAAAGCTGGTGAACTGGCATTTTAAAATGGAAATTTTGCAATAAACCTGCTTGTCGAGTTGTACAATAGAAAGTAACAGAGTTGATGGTATTCATCTTAGCAAATACCTGTTATCATGCCAGAAGTATAAACTTGATATATGTAGAGGTTTATCAGAAATAATGAGTCTGAAGCCTTAAAATGTGTGTGACATTTCAGATGACGAGGGCCCGGACCCACCAGAGCAGCTCACCGCCATTAAACTATCAGACTCACGGTGAGGTCACAGACATACACACACTGCTCTTTGTAACACTCTTGAATTTATGACTCCATTCTATTCATAACTTTTCCTTTTTTTTTTTTTCTTTTTTTTTTCTTAAGATTTGTTTGTTTCTGCCTGGAGGCCAGTAGGTTTCCATGCAGTCTGTTATTGCTGCCATTTTTTCTGATCGCTCTCTGATACTTTTGTTTCAAACTCTTTCTTGGAGAGAGGGAACCAAAGTCAGCAGAAAATTATTTGTTAATTGTCTTCTTGAAGGATTGCATTTAAATCTGGATATGGAAAGTACCTGGGCATCAACTCTGACGGTCTGGTGATGGGGCGCTCCGACGCCATTGGGTCAAGAGAACAGTGGGAGCCCGTCTTCCAGGACGTGAGTAAATCTAAAATCGTTTCTCATGTTGATTACTCTGAGCTGACTCTCATTTAAAAGACTGTTTTTTTGTTGTTGTTGTTTTGTTCGTTTTTTTTGTCCAAACCTTGAAGAACAGCTAAAAATGTGAGATTTATAATGTTTATTTTTTTCTGTCCTACTTGTTTTTATTGCCACTGTAGGTTTAACTGCTGCCTTTTTGGGCTGCACTGGAGTTTGGATATCGCCCATATTCAGACTCACCTGAAGGCATCGTCATAATTACATAAACAACTTCATTTCTAATTGCCTTCATTATCATTATGTCTTCCAGCTGACACTGTAGGGACTCATGTTCATTTTCTAATCATTTGCAGCCATTTAGTTCACAGTGTGGCTTTATTATCTAATCAATTATTTTATTTTGAATATTAACAATAGATGACATGACTGTATGTTGAGATTATGTGGAGGTCAGGGTGTAAAGACAATGACAGAGCTCTACTTGTATCCAGTGGGAATGTTTTCTTGAGGAGAGAGGTATCCAAACTTTATTTTTTACTTTGTGGACCAAAAATTGCAAGTTGGAAATATTCAATGGATTTTTAGTTCCAAGTTAAAAACATAAAATCATCTTAGTGGGAATTATTTTTTTATTTTTGTTGCTCTAGAAATGTTTTTATTTCTTTCCAGAAATGACAACAAGAAGTTTGTCCTGAAATTCTTTCTGTATTTCACAGAGTTTATGGAATTTGTTTGAAGTTTCTTTCAAGTAAAAGCGTTACTGGATGAAGTCAGAATAAAAGTCAAAAAAGAGAAACGTATTCAGTAGCTGTGATTCCGTTACAAATGTGCACAGAATTGCGTTGGCATTCATCTAATGTCAAAAAAACGTGTGGTGTTTTCATATAATGTTCTCAATAATTTCATTAAAATGATCTGTGGTGCTAATTGTTAGCACCTCGTAAGACAAATATTAATTGCATTTCTGCAACAAAAGCAGAAATGGAGACTGTGACTGTGCATTCAGTCACAGTCTCCAGCTGTGACTGAATGCACAGTTGGAGCATTCAGTCAGAAGACTTTGGCACATTTCCTCTAAATTATCCAGAAAGCTGCTTCTTCTCTCAGAGAGTCCTCTCCTGTCCTCAGCTGACCTCCACGTCTGCTATCGACGGCTCACCTTTTGGAGTCGAGCTAAAAGAAAGCATTAGTCGACTCTTTTCCTTTTTATTTTTTAGAAATGATAATCTCAATGTGGGGTTTTGATTTTTCCTCATTGATTTAACATATTTAACTTCTAGGTTTGATCTGGTTTTTTGTGGGATGATGATCCTTCAATGAAAGATTGGTTTGTTTAAGAGCTTTTTAAACGTCTTCACCAGGAGTAAAAAAAAACAGGTGGAATAAAAGATAAAGTTTCAGAAACTTTTGTGTCTTTCAGGTTTTCACATCAAAATATGTTGGGAGCATTTGATTTTTGAATGTGTTTTTGTTATTTTTTCCACGCCTCGATGGATGACAGGTAAAAATTAGCCGTGGTGATAACCAATCAGCCTGTCATCCTCCATGGCTTGTTTAAACCTTCAATCTTCAGACGTGTTTTACATCAAAGATCTATTGCTTTTTTTTTTTCTTTTTTTCTTTGTCACAACAACCCGTCTGTGCTTAATGTGTTTTTTTTTGTGTGTATGTTTGTTTGTTTCTCTTCCTTCCTTCAGGGTAAAATGGCTCTGCTGGCTGCAAATAGCTGTTTCATCTCCTACAGTGATGATGGAGACATCGTGGCCAACAGCAAGACAGCGGGGGACGCTGAGATGCTGAAGGTGACGGATTGCCTGCCTTCATTTCTCCAAGGATTCGTGTTAATCCTCAGACTGTTTTTGTACCTTTGCGGACTCTGCAGGAACTTGACCGGCTCAACAGAGGATTGGAAATGTTCGCCTCTTCAGTGAGGGAGGCCAAGGTGTTGGTATTTAACATTCTCCTTCTCTCTCTGTGTGTTCTTCCCGCCCCAATGAGTAGATCCGGACCAACACAGAACGGGAAGTCAAGCACAAAGATGAGCTTGCAGATGAGGACAGAGGGAATGTGAAATCCTGTGAGGTCAATTATGTGTAAGTTATCGCCACTGTTTGAATGGATATTACTCATTTATGCAGCTGTAACATGATCTTATTGGCTCTTCAGCCTCAAATATGCACAACACAAAAGTCAAAAGCTCTTTACTTTATAATCAGAATAGTTTCTTATGGGTGACACTTTATTTGAAGGGGTGTTCATAAGACTGATATGTCACTGTCATAAATATGACACAACACTATGAATCAGAAGAAGTTTATAACTGTTTTCATAAAGTGTCATTGGGTAAATAATGCAACTTTTAATGCAAAGTTGCATTAAAAGTTGCATTAAAAGTACCAACTCTGCATTATTTAGGAAGTAATGACATTTTAAGGCAAAGTTAACACTTTTAATTGACTTTCAATGCAACTTTTAAGGCTACTATTTGGCAAATAAATGTCATTATTTACCAAATGACATTTCATGACAATAGTCATAGACATTCATAAAGACTATTTTATGTTCATAACAGATGCTGTCATGTTTATGATGTCAGACTTATGCACATCCTTCAAATGAAGTGTTACTCTTACGTAATTTCTTAAAGGAGAATTGTAAGAAATATATTTACTATTCACCAGAATGTGTATATACAACAAACATTATAGAGTAACAAAAAGCAAAAAGGGGTATTGATCTTGAAAATAATTAACCAGATAATAAAACGAATAACGGCAACAGAAATCAAATAACCGAACAAAAAGAACAAACAAAACAACAATAAAAAAAACACACAAACAGAAAAGTATACATTCAAAAGGATACATTCAAAACAAAAGCAAAACACAGAACACAGTGAATTGGCGTCACAACAAAAACTAAATTGATTAACGTAAATTAGGATGTGCTTCTTTTTTTCTGAAAAGAAAAAAGCATATCCTAATTTACCAATAACTGGGAAGTTATTTTCCGATTTTAAATATTTTTCTGTTCTTTAAGTAATTAATCTAGTGTCACAGATATTTTTGGAAAAAGTGGAGAAGAGCAGGGGGGAAAAAAGCAAACAAAAAGAGAATAAATAAATAAAAGTATATGCGAGAACAAAGAATAAATAAATAATGGATAAGGATGAAACACAATGAGTCTTATTATTATTTGACTCATTTCCCTCCTCTCTCCTGGTCTTGGCTTCTGCCATGACAGTGACTCACCGGAAATGAAACGTCATCTAAAACATGGAGGATTTTTTATTTCAATATTCGATTTGGTTTTTATGAATTTCTTATTGGTGCTCCGTTGATATCTGATGTGTATATAGATCTAGCCATTGTGAGGAACTGATTTTTTTTTTTCATATTTTAGCAGTTAAACATTATTGTATTGTTATAGGTTTTTATGTCAAATAAAATGAGTAGAGACCCAAACCACTTGTGAAAATAAAAGAATAAAACACTCACCCGTTGTGATGCTAATTAAACACTAGGTGGTGCTTGGTCAGAGTAGTGATGCCTGGTATTAATCTCCCTCAGGCGTCACAGAGCAAGTATGGCAAACCAAACAGTCAGTTGGCAAAAATTAGCCCTGTTTTCAATGTCATAAATAAATATAAATACAGGTTTCCATATAGGCGCTGCATATGGTCAACAATTTTCCTTCTTCAGTGCTGAGTGAAAACCAGCTGCTGCATGCCACTATTACCAGCCATGATGGCATTAGTTTGGTGTGGAGAGCTTTAGATGGCAGTCGGTTCATTTTATGTGGCAGAACTCAACAAAAAGCACTGAGAACATTTGAACATCCTCATTTGAATCACCGTGGCACCGTGGTCAGAACTCTGTGTGTGGTGTTAAATACACCACACACAGAGTTCTGACCAAATGGCACAAGCAGAGCAATAATTTACAAATACTGTCAAAGCCCAATATTTGTAAAGGTCTAAGACTTTTGGTTCAAACAAACTTAAATCTCTTTGATTTTCACCAAATTTAGGGAACAGAAGTTGATGCTAAAGTCCAGATTCATTGATTGTACTTTGGGTTGTGTGTGTTTTTCAGCTGAATTTGCTAAGAGATCGTTCATGTTGAGAAGTTTGAAGACAAAGGTGAAGGGTCATTGCTGAGATGATTTGGACAAGTTATATTAAGGACAGGCTGCAAAGTTACCACATAGGTTGGACAGAATTTAAAGGCTTTTTAAAAGTAACCTTTTTTTTATCCCATAGTTAATGTTTTGTATCTGCTGTTTGTTTCGAATAAAACACATTAAAATGGCAAAATTTTCTACACAATAAGAACAATAAGAAAACACATTCAAATGTTGAGCTTTTTATTCTCCTTTGTGTCTGATATATTTTATTTCTCAAATCTTGCAAAGCACCAATTTTTGCACAGTGTTGTAGAAAAATTGCATTACAAATAAAGTTTGATCAAAAGGGGGCAAAGGAAACCAGAGAGAGTTGGTAAAAAAAATATTCAGAAAATAAATGTCACAGATGTCCTAGAATTGTCTTCCCCAACTGTTGCATCGAGTTAAACTGTTTTTGTTCTGATGATAGCTTTGTTTGTCATCTTTTCTGTGTGTCATTAAATCCACTCTGCTGTGCAATTTGTCCTAAGAGCTACTGTGGCATCAGACGTGTGATGGTGTCTGGATGTTTTCACTGCACTCTATTTTTTCCAGCCTAAGCAGGGAAACCTTTTGGCCTTTGAAGTCGGCGCCGCTGAAGCTTTTTATTCAGATCCCTTTGTTTTCCCATTGGGTCCTTCTGCTCTGGCAGGATTTTGACAGTAAAAACACGCTTGAATGAGTCGACGCCTTCTCATCTTCGTCCCTCTGAGGTGCTATTGATGGTCTGCAGTTAGTGTGATGAGAGGACAAGGAATGCCACATTTTACTGGGGCTTCTTTTGTTGTTGTTGTTTTTTTCCTGCAGCCTATTAAAGTTGCAAACAATATGTCTGAGGCAGCCTTTTATTTATTTATTTTCTCTTTGGTTGGCATGCTTTAGATTGTGTTTTCACTCTGTTATTTGTTGTAGATGAATGTGAGGAAAATGGACTCATCAAGCTGACATGTTGATAATGGCTGCCCCTGAGCCCTGAGTGGTGATGTAGTGTTTAGCGCGTGAGACGGCTTTCAGGATGGAGTGCAGTGTGGTAATCATAAAACACCGGCTGAGCCGAGACAAACGAACTGTCAGGAGCGTGTTCAGACCCAGAAAAGCCCCGGGTCGTTTTCCAGCTTCGTTCCAGATCTTTCTGCGTAACTTAACAGCCTAATTATTTCTACCAAACCCATTGCTTGAGTTATATCACACCACATGGTGCATGGCTGATCGTCTTCTTCGCTGTTTCTTTGTTTTTTTTTTAAGTGCTAATGAAATCAAGAACACCCCGTTCTTTTGTTTACTCCTCACATAGAACTAAGATATTTTTATAATCTTTTTACAGGAAGAAATTTCAGAGTTTCCAGGACAGACGGCTGAGGGTTAACGAAGACGACGCATCGAACCTAAAGAAGGCCAGGGTGGACGGGAAGTTTCACGAAGCTTTGCTGGACAGGTATGAAATCAGAAGTAACACACGGCTGTTCCCAAACAGTCTGGGAATATATTTGATCATTTTCTACATTTGAATAAGTATGGAAGGATGGGAGTTCAATTTTTCTGATTTTTTTTTCTTTTTATATTCTTTTGGCAAATGCCAAACACCACTATGTATGTAAAACATTACTGAAAATAAATTTGACTTTGTAATTTTAAGTAAAAATGGCAAAAACCATTCAATGTCCAATTCCCCCAAAAATGTTCTATGTCTACATTAAAAATATACGAATAATGAACATATTCCAAAATAGAAATGTTTCGTTTTCTTGCATAGTTCAATACAACAATACAAATGGTATATCTACATACATATTGTGTACATAGAAGAAATGTGAAACTAAAGTGACGTGTTTAGACTGGTGAGGTTAAATGTTGTGTTGTTTGTTTGCTTGCAGGAGAAGCAAAATGAAAGCAGACAGATACTGCAAATGAAGAGAGGGAGGATTTCTACCGTTCTCTCTTTCAAGTCCTGCCTGTTTTCCAGGTGTGATCATGTGATGTGGCTCTTTTCTTTTGTTGTTTTGTTTTTATATTTTAAAAATAAAACTTTTACTGGTTTAAAATGACTTTATTGCTTGGACTACCATATTGCCCACATTTTGTGATGAGTTATGAATTTAGGTGACCCATTTGGCCTTTTAGTGTAAATAATTAACCAGTGTGTGTCCACGTCGCACTGCAGCAACTGGAATAACATTACAGAGATTAAAGTGGGTTCACAGTGTGAGATTTCTCACAAAATCAGTTTGGCTTTAAGCTATGTGCTGCATCAATTATTTTTATGATGAACATAAAACAGCACAGTAAGAGGAGGGCAACAGCACAAAGAAGTTTATCTCAGAGCTGGGATTTATTATTTGGAATACACAAAGTCATTGGTGCAACAAATTAAGTGTAGCACATGGAAGCTGTACATAATGTAATAAGAGGCATAATCCTAATTAGAATTAGAAAGCAGCTAAATGTGTTTTACTGTGGGAAATCCTAACGTTTGAAGAGCTGACTGCAGACGTTCAGGAAGCCTGGAGCAAACTATCAGAGGAGAATTTAATGTTTCATATTCTCTTTCATATATTGAGCTTGTAAATACTGTGTTTATCTGGACAAGTTTACCCAAAGGCCTTGGATTATTTCTGCACGCATAAAGAAGTCGGAGCGGTTTTACTTCCAAACTGTTATTTCATAGATGAAGTAGGAGAGTTAGGAAAACCCTGAGTAAGTGTGCAGATGTAACAAAAATATTCACACCTCCGCAATACAATAGTGATTTTCATGTCTTGACATGGAATTTCAGTCGGAACTTTGACTAGACCACATCGACAGAGTTACTTGAGCCTCTTGGGGCTTCTCTTAGTAACTGTAACAGCTGGACTTCTCAAAAGCCTTTGGTTGCACAGGTTTTTCATTTAGTGGTAGTAGATTAAAAAAGGCTGACTTTAGGTTTTCTTAAGCATTTTGACCATATCTTATTGTTCCTCCATCCCTAGTGTTGGTCTTATAAAATTTAAATAGAAGTTTTTGGTTGTAAGGTTGACAAACTGTAGAACATTTTGAGAGACATAAATACAAGTTGCTGTTCACATGGCTCTTTGATCCTGTTTTCTATTTCTGCTACTGCCTTTCATCATGGGACTAATGATATCAGAAATAAGGGAAATTGGTCAGGGTCAAAGAAAAGAGAATTTTTAAGTAATTTCTGCTTTAATTTCTATGGGTTTTTTGCAGAATGATCTTTCTAAAGACAGAAAAACCTCCTGAATGTGTCGACCTTTTAAAAACGTCATGGCCTGAAGGTCTAAAACAGCCTTGGTTAAAGGTCATGTTAACATTTTCTTGATCTTGGCATCAGTTTCTCCAACCTCCCTCACATTTCTGGGAATGTTTTTTGGGATTGTAATGCTACTTTATCTTCTGCTCTAACTGTAAAGCTTTTATCACTCTGCACCAGAACAAGTCCACAACTTGTCAGAACATATATCTTTTCATATTCCTTCTGAGTCCATTATTTATTTTCTTTGCAAATTGTACTCATTTTAAAGCTATTTATCTTTTTTAATAAAGCTAAAGCCTTATTACCATGACCACAAGATTTTTCTATTGATTGTTTTGAATTAGACAAATTGATTGTTATTACTGATCGATCAGGGATTAAAAGGCATTAGTCTGCGTTTCATCAGTCTCAGCTGTCAGACTCAGCTCCTCACCAGGCACATCCATGGTGAAGTGTGCGTGTCTGTAATAAGTTCCTTAAACAGGTTAAAAACAGGAATGGTTCAGATTGAGCTGAAGAAAATTCTCAGCCATTCACGACTTGATAGCTAAAGAAAACTTTAATAGAGTATTAAGCTGATACTTTTTTTTTACTTTTCAACAAAGTAAAAAAACAACAGATATGAATGGGGCCGTTGCCATGTTGCTTCCCCTCCTGTAAATCTCTCTTATCTGATACAAAACCAAAGTAAAGAAACTCGGTGGAGCAAATCTGTGGTTAACAAACATGTTTGGTCACTAATTCAACAGCAGAAGCAGGAGTCACCTGCAGAGCTGATTATCTACAACACGAGTTGCTCTGTGGTCCACTTTCATTTCCATATGGGAGAAACAACCGACACTCAACATGAGGGGAGGGGGCTGATGATTGAATTATGGGACTTGTTTTTATGTCATATTTTTGTTTGTTTTTTGTTTTATTTTGTTTCAGAAGAAAATGATACACAATTTTTGTTCGAAAACGATTGACTTCTACGACAACACGAGATATTTAGCTTCTGTATTACGCGTTTCTGTTACCCTTGTTGAAAATGGACCAGTCCAAAGTCACGAGGGGAAACAGCAACTTCCGCAAACTGGAAGCGTCACTGAAACCCAAACAAATAGAGCTTCTGGTTCAGCCAGGCTGGTAAGAATGGCTCGCGCGGTTCTTCTTCTTCTGGCCACTTCTCTCGCCGTCTCGGCGGCTCAGTTCGTCCCACCGGTGAGTTCCGTCCTGCTCGGTCACCGCTAACACGGAGCTGCGCTGCTGCCTGTTCTAATGCTGTCATTTCCTCTCAGTACACAGAGGACTGCCGGACAGGCATGTACCCTCCGAACGGACCGACGTAAGTTTACTAAACACTGTTGAGTCATAGGCATGTTCAAGAACTGAGCCCTGCTGCCTTCACTGGCTCCTGGAAATGTCAGTACTGCCGTCACTTGCAGTTTGACGCGGGACTTTTGACATTCGTAGAGGCTATGTGTTGTTACATTGTATTTTGTGAGGTCGATGCTTTATTTTAGAAACAACATGACGTGATGTTAGTGCTGTTAATGATGAAAAACACGTGACAGCCTCCCTGCTGCTCATTTACATGCAGCTATGATCTGAAGTCACTGAGCCCAATACAGTAGACCATATCCGGGTTTAAACGGAATGCAGCTATAAAGTCAGCAATAAAATCCAGTTAGAATTAAACGTCTAAGTTGCTCTTAAATAAGAAAAACATGAGAACATGTCGGTGACATAAAGCAGGTGTGTGTGTGTGTGTCTTCTTCAGCCTGCGCTTTTCAAAGAGCAATTTAGAAATTGTTCCATGGAAATCTGCTTGCCTGAACTTGCCCTGTTTATCAGCCAGATTGATTATTAAACATATGTTTCATGAACGCAACGTGTTTCCCTGTTTTCATCTCTACCAGCAACGAGAAGCATTAGAAAGATGCAGCAACTTTTCCAGTGTGAACTTTAGTTCCAATATAAAAAGTATTTTAGCTAATTTTACACATCTTTACCAGTGGTGATAATAAACGTAAACGGCCCTTTGTACCAGAGATCATTCCTGAGTGGTTTGTCCTTGGTTACATCATATACTGCTAACCTCTTGACACAAATGTTCCCAACATGACGTCAGAAGATTATTCCATAGCATACTTGTTTTAGTTCTAAATTAATTTTATTTTATTTTTTTTATTCATTTTGCCTTTTTAGCCTCAAACAGGAGCAGTGAACATCATGTTTTCTTTCTGCCCAGGTTCAAAGGTCCAGTCAGCTGGTACACCATTGACCTTGACCTGCCGCCCAGCAAGAGATGGACGGCTCTGATCACTGACAAAAAAACCGAAGTAAGAGGATTAGCGGCCGCCGGGGAACACGAGTTGTGACTCTTGACGTGAAAGTCACGGGGGTTGTGCTTGTTTTCAGCTGGCCGGGATGATCCAAGCCATCCGGGACTTGGCCAACGCGTTTGTTCCCAGCGGAAGGCTGATAGAGCTGGTTGACATCACGCTGGTCAGTCGTCCTCTGTCACAGCGACTTATTTTCAGAGAGGTGAAAGGTCACCTTTATGCATTCGGCTTTTTCTAATATTTTCTAGCCTCTGATGGCGGACTCTCTCCCAAGCCCGTTTGGTGAGGAGATCAAGGGAATCGCTGTCGCCTCGGGGGTTCCTCTCGGTAAATAAAGAGGAATTGTCGCTTCGTTAGTTGGTAAAAGAAAACTCCCAGCTGACCTTCCTGTCTCTGTGTTGCAGGAGAAGTTGTTCTGTTTAACATCTTTTATGAGGTGTTCACCGTTTGCACATCTGTTGTTGCGCAAGATCAGAAAGGTGAGAAACAAACAGCCGGGGAACTTCAATGAAAATCTGAACATGGGCTGAAATTCTTTGGAATTGTGCTTCTTTTCTCTTTGTCAACAGGGAACCTCCTTCATGGCAGGAATTTAGATTTTGGATTATTTTTAGGGTAAGGACCACACTGCGCCTTACAAAAATGTTCCACTGTTTGTCACATGAACACAAAACAGTAACACTTTATTTGACCGGGTGTGAATAATGCTGACATGACACCATCATAAACATGAAGGAGTGTTGATGAATGTCTATCGCTGTTGTCATGAAGTGTCACTTTTAATGCAAAGTTGCTCTAGAAGTTGTTTTGAAAGGTTATTAAAAGTGCTGACTTTACCTTAAAATGTTATTTACAAAATCAAGCAAAGGTGGGACTTTGAATGCAACTTTGCATTGAAAGTGTCATTATTTACCAAATTACACTTTATCAAAACAGTCTAAATATTCATAAAGACTTCATGTTCATAACAGATGTCATGTTTATGACAGTGTCATCATGTCAGTCTTATGCACACCCCATCAAATAAAGCATTACTAAGACGTAAACATTTTTCCTCCTGTTTCACAATTGTGTACCGCTTTGCATTGGTCCGTCACCAAAAAGCTGCAACATTTAAAAACGTGTAAGAGGGTTGAGACAGAATCACTGCGGGTGGCATGGTAACCTGCGGCTGTTTGCAGCTGGGATGTGAAGAACAAGTCATGGACCATCAGTGAGAAGCTGAAGCCTCTGGTGGTCAACCTGGACTTCAGAAGGAGCAACAAAACCGTCTTCAAGTCCACAAACTTCGCCGGCTACGTTGGCATGCTCACCGGCATCAAGCCGGTAAGACTTTTTTAAGAACGCACGTCTTCCCTAAACCCTGAGGAAGCAAAAATATTCAAAGTATTTTTTCTGTTGGTGTCAGCACGTCTTCACGCTGACTATGAACGAACGCTTCAGCCTAGACGGAGGATACATCGGTGAGTTTCAGCCAGAATTTCACACCATTTATGGAAATGTGGCGAGTTTTTTAATGACTGGCGGTTTATGATGATGTGTTTGCATTCAGGGATCCTGGAGTGGATCATGGGTCAAAGAGATGGGATGTGGATGAGCTTTCTCACTCGATCGGTCCTGGAGAATGCAAACAGGTTCTTTTATTTTTATATCTGAAGGATGTCACAAAGTTCAATTAGATGATCATTGATATGATATAAATGTCTGTATCAATCTCAATATTGAGAGGAAAAAAAAGATCCGGTATCTGTGACAATGTTTCCGACCCATAAAAGCAGATCAATTCTACGCTTTTTGCTCTATTATTGATTTTACATTTTATTTAGAATCCTACCAATTGCATTTCAGAGTTATTCGAAAAAAGGTTTGTCGCAGTTAACTTTTTTACCTGTTTGACCAAGGTATTCAACTATTGTTTTTGTCAGTATATTATTTATTATCCATCAACCGTTCTACTCCTAATTGCTCCGACTGAAAAGATCAAAGTTGTTGTTTTCACATATTTAATCAAGCGTGTGAAGTTATTGGTGTATTTAAGTGTGCTGTACTGGTGCAAAGTTCACATAAATATGTAATTCAGTCAATTTATGTCTGTTAAAAAAAAAATTTTCAGTCATTTTAGCAGATTGATATCGGCCGATACTAAATTTCAGATATTATCAGAAGTGAAAAAAGTGAATTTTTAAATAATTTAAATATCTTTTTCTTTAGGACAATAAACATGTACTGACCAATAATCATAACCTTACTCTGCACAATTAATATGAAAAACAAAATAAGGTTTTACCACCATTTAATGATTTGAGTATTTTATAAAGTCTTACATTTTTTTTGGATGGATTCTGGACGCCAGCGGTAACTTGTCTTTTTGTTCCCATCAGCTACAAGGAAGCCAAGAACCAGCTGGCTCTGACCAAGATGCTGGCTCCAGCGTACTTCATCCTGGGAGGAAACCAAACCGGACAAGGCTGCATCATCACCAGGTCCAGGGAGCTCAGCATCGATGTGCTGGAGTGAGTTCTGAGGCTCGGGCCGCTTCATTCGCACTACATTTCCTTCAATTTCCTTCTGAAAATCCATTATGGAGGTGGACGTTTTGGGTGTTGGAGCTTCTTGCTCAATCATCATGAACGTGATGGGGATGGAGAAAGAAGTTCCCGACACGTCCGTCTTGTGAAAGCATTGCTCAACTTGGAACTGATGACTCGTCTGGTTTCAGATCACCTGACTGACGTCTTTACTGGTCCTTTTTATTTCAGCATCGATGTGAAACTGGACCGCTGGTACGTTCTGGAGACCAACTACGACCACTGGCAGGAGCCCTTCTTCCTGGACGACCGCCGGACTCCTGCCATGAAGTGCATGAACAAGACAACACAGGCAGTAAGCGCTGAAGCGTTCTAAGTTGCTACCTTTTGGGTCACAAGTCTAACTGAACTTCCTGTTTTTATTGTAGAGTTATGACACCCATAACCTCTCATCTCTTTTTCATTTTAGAACATCTCTGTGAAAACCCTGTATGATGTTCTCTCAACCAAACCAGTGTTAAACAAGGTAGTGTATTATTTCCCATTGTACAGCACACTGCGTGATAATGCGCCGCTACATTGAAATGATAAAGTATCTGCTTTCTATTCTTAATCGTCAGCTGAAACACCTTTTTAAAAACATAAAAAGCATCACAACTTCACAAATGTCGCAACAGTGACCAGATAACCTCAGCTAATGTCTGTGCTGTGCAGGTCCTCTGTCTGGGCTGATGAAGATTCACTCAGCTCGGCATGCTGAATGCTTGTAATGGGATCAAACCCAACTCTGTCCCATTGAAGTAGCAGATTGAACATTTTTCATCCCAATGAATACACAAATCAGGGGATTAATATCTTTTCCTGTCAATCCACAAAATAATGTTTTTTAGAGACACAAACATAATAAATATCTATACAGAAAAAAATTTTTACTCGAGTGGTACTACTCTTCAGTACAAGCTTCTATCTCAAAGAGCAGTCTTCCCTATTACTCCAACTCTCAGCTCCTTCAGACTAGCTAGCGTCAATTGGCAAACACCTGATGCAACACTTGTAAAAATGGTAAAGGGATAGATGCTGTGATGACTCCCTTTAGGCAGAATTTCAGAAATAGGACTTTTTAAAGAGACAGAGGCCCAATTTCAAATCGCAAAGTCAAATTTCTTTTAAGTTGTATTTGATATTTAGAGTAATTTTTTAGAACAACTTCGCTCAAATATCTCGATTGTGCAATAAAATGGCATTATGTTTCTGAAAACATATAATTCTCCCACTTTCTGTTGCTTAAATTACTTGTGTAGAGCAGCCAGAAAATGTATGGGTTTTTTTTTTTATGTGAAAGTAAGCTCTCAAATTTTTTTTTTCTTAGCTGACCACCTACACAACACTGATGCAAGTGTCTGAAGGCAAGCTGGAGTCGTACATCCGGGACTGTCCTGACCCCTGCATGCCCTGGTGATCCTCAACCCGGGGATCCGCTGCACACTTCCTGGCACAAAAACAAAAGCTTTGAGCGATCGCACAGCAACTGTTGACCTGAACCGTTCATTGTAACACTGAAGTCCCTCAGACATCTGGATTTTGTGAAGCTTTGAGGACGATATTCCAGTTCTTGTTATGAGGGAAACTAAAACTCCGATCTGTTTGCTTTTCTTGAACTTTCTTCGTCTCACTGTAAAAATCCTGCTTTGCCAAGAAATGTTTGTTTTAAGCTCGTACTGACAGACTTACCTCATGATGAGCTTTTAATTTTTTTCACTGTTTAACAAATGAATTCCCAGATTTTCTGCTGTTTTGTAACAGAATTTTTGTAATGTTTAAAATCAGATCTAATCTAATAAGAGTGTCACTGATTTTCTTCTGAATAATCAGCTCAGCAACTCCAGTCATTTGGTTTATTATAAGAAAAGCAGAAACATGTTACAGTTCTGAGGATGAGACAGAGGAATCATTTTGAGCAAAAAAACTTCAACTAAGATTTGCTCTATTTGCCCCATCACACACACATATGTACATACAGTCATAAAAAAAAGTACACTCTCAGTTCCAGAACTTTAATAAACTCTATAGATACTAAAACTATCTGAATCTAACTTCAATTGGAAAACTAAAGAAGACAATAACATGGAACATGTGGCCAAACATTAAATACACTGCCAGAAAAAAACAAAACCCTAGAATTTAAAGAGTGTGTACTTAATTTTACACAGACTATTTGTTGTAACAGCAGCTGGTTGAACCATCAAGAGACGGTAATTAATATGAATACGGTGAAAACAGCTACAGCAGGGCCAGGCAAGAAGAGATAAAAAATATTAATAAAACATGTCAAACTAATCCCAGAACCAAAGAAACATCTGGATGTGATCAGCAGCAGGAGATAAATCCAAACAAATTGGTAAACTACAACAAACATTAACTTATAGTGTTGGGCTTCCTTAAAGATTCACAGATAACGCAGAACTTTTCTTGTCCAAACGAGCGGATTAGAGAAGCGAACTGAGGGGAGGATTCTCAGGAAATCAGGAGAGTGAGACATCTGGAGTCGTCTTTACACGCTCTGGGCATCAGTTGTGTCTAGAAAAGAACAATGGTCATCAAGTTCCCATTACAAATGTGAGAAAAACTGTCAATATTCCACTGATGTCGTAAAAACACAATTTTGTAATTGCGGCGTTTTCAGACCGCGTGTGAATGAGCATGATCACATAAATCATTAGAAATCATGCTGCGTCGTGAGCATCCAATAACTGCCTGTTGTCTTCATCTCTGGTTTGTGGCAGTGGAAACATCTGGTTGTTGATCATGTGACTCATGAGATGCAAAACATGTTTATATTGCAGTTTTGTCAAAATAAACAAATTTTGATACGACCACAAAAAAAAAACTTGCCTCGTCCTGGCGCCAATCATAAGACAAGTTTGTTATATTTGGTGTGTTTTCATTCAGCAAATGTATTTTCTAAATGTCGTAATTATATGGCCAATAGAAACGCAGCTAGTGATGTACAGGTGGTACTTACAGACACTTTGACCTGAGGACAGACTAACTGCGTTTCCACTGACCATAAAACTACACGTTTTCATATTTTGAAGATAAATTTGTTTCATGGAAACACACCAATTTTGAAAAAACTGTTTTGTTTTTTGATGAGGTGGTTTTTCAGTCACATCAAAATTGGTTTATTTTAACAAATTTCAATGGAACACATTTTTACATCACACAAATCACATGATCAACAACCAGATGTTGCCACTGGCATAAACCATAAAGATGATGACGACAGGAAGAAGCAGAGTAAAAACATTGTAACATCCCTTTACAGTTAAACTTATTCATGTGTGGCTCTTATTTAATGAAACACCGTAATTGTGAAGTAGTGTAGTTTTCACAGAAGCAGAATATGGACAGAGTTGTGCGTCCATTTGGAACGCAGCTCTCAGTCCTCTCTACCTGGTTCCTTCAGAGCCTGAGCGTTCCCCACCAGGCCGGTCAGCAGCTCGGCGTTCCCGTTCAGGATCTCCACAGACAGGTTGTTGTTCTGCTGCTCCTCCACGATCCTCTTCTGCAGCTCCTCCTGTTGGCACACAGCACACATGACACCCTGTCCGCTGGTTGCTCTCAGAGTCGTGGACTGCAAAGTTCCTTCCACACCTCACACATCACCGTAAGCTGCAGAGGAACGTCGTCCACCTTGACGAAGTCTTCCTCGTCCGACTTTTGACTCGTGTTTCCCGATCCGACTTCCTGCATGACGGGAAGCTGAGCAGCATTAATAACAGGATTTAACATGAACGACTCGTGTCAAGCAGCGTGACAACAAACAGACTCACGTCGCCGCTTACGAGGACGGGCGAGTCAGAGCTGGGGCTGCTGGCCGTCTCCTTGGAAACGTCATGGGAGGCTTCAGCAGCCTCCTCTGCAGAAGCTGCAGCCACAGCTTCCTGCTGCTCCTCTGTGCTCTGGAGCTCCACCAGAGTGCGCTCTTCAGCTGAGGAGTCCAAGGTCTCGGCTGTATTACTGACCTCTGCAGGACAGGAGGAGATGTGCACCATTAAAGGCTGAGAAGGGAGACTAATCCGGTCGTGTCTTCATTCAGAACGGAGGGGAAAAGCTAGAAAAGCTCTAGGATTCCTCCAGATCATCCATCCACTCACAGACCCAAAGTTACTGTTACTGTCCTACTGAACAAACAGGTCCTAACTTTTGAGCATGGAATTTATGTAATTAGTTTGATGGTTTACCCAGAAATAATGTATGAGCAAATTGAGGAATGCAGCAGAATAACACAACAGAATGTAGGGACTATATTTGTACAAAATCAATACAAAAATAACTGAATAATCCAATCAACAGAGGGCAGTGTACCATACCTAGACCGTTCACAAAAATCATTATCAATTAAAATGAACTTGATCATTTCTATGCTGATGATTAACATTTTTTAAAGGGCAATTTTGTTTACAGACTAAATATTCCATTGTATTTATGGATTGGTTGTGTTTGGTTTTTATTTTCTATTTATTTTGGATATTCCATTGCTAAGTGTTCTTTACAGAATTAAAGCTCATTAGACTTTGAGAGGGCAAACTTGCATCATTACACGGTTATTACTAAAAAAAAGTCTCAAAACAACATTATCAATTGTCAATTATCAGTTTATTGTCCAAAAAACTTTATGATGAGAGGCCTACTTACACCCAACCAGAGAAAAACCCAGCCTGTAATATTTTTTGTCTTTGTTTGTAAAAAAAAAAATAAAAATAGTAACTGAAGTTACACTGGGCTCACCGTTTGTTTCTGAACAGTTCTGTTCAGAGATTTTCTCTTCAGGTTCGCTGCTGGTTGTGACCTGGAACGAAGCACAAACACAAAGTTAAATCTCAGTGAACAGAGCAGCTGCCTGGCGCTACAGAAGCACATTCTCATCGAGGCTCACCGCCGCAACAACTTCCTGCTCCGCCTGTCCGTCAGCCGAAACCTGCAGAGACGTTTGCACGTCTACAGGTCCAGCTTCAAACTCCTCCACCTCCTCCTCATCGTTTTCATCCTCTCCGCTGCCGTAGTTGGTTAGAGCCTGAGTCTCTGCTTTAGATAGGCCTAAAGACATGAATTAACTGATTTAAAGCATTTATTTTTTTAAACACAAAGACATAAATGGACTGAATGAACTTTTTTGATGTCAGAACAAGAGACCTAAATACACCTACAGCTTCACAAGCTTGGTCGAACATGTAAAAACAGCTTTAATTTGTTCAGTCAGTTCAATTAGGAGCAGAACAGTCGATGGAAAATAAATAATAAAGAAACTAAAACTGACAAAAACAACAGGTTGACTAACCTGTTGGTTAGACATGTCAAAGTAAACTGTTACAAACTTGTTTCAAATGGTTCAGAAAGTGCAATTAAACATTCAAAACGTAATATAAAGTACATAATAAAGCATATATCACTCATTCACAACACATAGAACTAGACTGAATAGATCTGCCCTGATAGATCGGGAGCGTTTTCATCAATACCTGATTCTGAATTTTTTTCAACATCAGGACTGTTGCAGATATTGCTATCAGATTACTGCATCACTATTGAAAACAATCTTAGAAATATTAACTGAGAATTCCTGCAGCTTGTATTTTCTCTTTTTTAAATGTTTCACTTACTGATTGACAGAGGAGCTGCTTCCTCTTGTCCTTCATCCTCCTCCTCCTCTTCACCTTCTGACCCAGGGCTGCTCCTCCCCTCAGTCTGCAGGTAATCCTCCTGCAGGACTCCAGATTCTTGCTTTTCTGTCTGATTCTGATCCTGAGGTGAGAAACATTGGGTGGTTGAGAACAGCTGCTTTCCTCTTTCAGTATAAATGCATTAAAACATTTATAAGGCACAACATTTCCAACCACTAATTAAATGCAGCATACAAGCTTAATAGCATAAACTTTGATTCAATTTCTTTTTAATTTGATAAACTCCAGAAAAAGTATGTAGAACAGAACAATCCTGCTTAAAGGCTGAAAAGTTCTGCATTATTCCAATAACTCACCTTGTCCTCATCAGCAAATGCTGGAGAAACAGACTTAGCAGCATCTGCTTCCGAGTTCTCCTAATTAACACAAGACTTTAATTAGTCCAACAGGATTTCACATCACAGAACAGTGGGATGTAAAATGCAATTGTCAGTTAATAACCTCCAGGTTATGATTTGTTTTACAGAGCTGTGGAGACTTTTTCTGATTTTTATATTTAACTCCCAGGTTGGCGGCGGCGTTGCTGCTGTCCAAATTCTGCATCAGCTTGAAGAAGGCCAGCTCGTTAAAGAGGATCTCTGAGATCTCCACCAGCAGATCCTCCCCGCAGTCCCTCAGCGTACGGCCCTCAAATTTACAGAGAGTTTCCTGAACGACACACAAAGGAGGAGGAGAGGTTTCTCAGTAACGTTGCCTCGACGTGTTGGCTCTGCACGACAGGGAGCAGGAAGCTGGTCCTACCTGCAGGATTCCTCCCAGCTGCTTGTGGAAGAAGCGAACAAACTCCTTGCTCTCGTCGTTTTGCTGGGTGAGAGTCAACACCATGCGGCGCACGGACGTCAGCAGCTGATGGGAGCACACTTCGTTCATGTTCTCCTTTAAAAAAAAAAAAACAAGAAAATGCATCAGTCAAATTTCCAGGAAACTTTGAAAGCTATCAATTTATTTATTTAGAACAAACAAAAAGTTAAAGCAAGAAAAACATGAATAAATAAAACAAATGATCATTCACAGTTGTTACATTATATGTTCAAAGAGGAAAAAGTACAAGACCTTATGACCTCATACTCAACTTATAAACATTTAAGTCTTCCAACACCAGATAAACTTAAATTATATACACATTACATGACACTTAAATCCCACATTCTCGTCTTTTACTGTACAATTGCCTATATATTTTTTATATCATCAATAGCATTTTTGGTCTTTGAAACAGTCTTCTAAAACCACATATTTCCCAATAAGCTCCTTTTTAAGCAATTATTTAAGCTGGTTTAAATTTTTACTTTTTTTTAACTCATCATTCAATCCGTTCCATAAATCTTCTCTACACACTGATAAACAAAAAAAAATCTTTCTAAGACTTTTCTTTTAGATTTCCTTCTCATTTTTTTGCATATTGTGTGGAAGATGATAGTTTATTACTTTAAACACAAATTACACAGTTTTAAATGTTACCAGGTCTCAGAATTTCAGTAGATTTGATAAAAAAAAAAAACAGGTTTGCATGTTCCCAATATAACACTTTATGGAGTATTCCAAGGGATTTTTTTGGATGACATACAAAAATTGGCTGTGAATTTGTTTTGTACGTCTGTATATAAGCAATTTCTTTGGCACTGCAGATTAAAATCCCCCACTTTCTGGAAACACTTATATTGGTTATGTTTTTTTTCTTTTTACTGTACCTTTAGGAAGGGAATGACTTCGGTCATGATGGCTTTAATCTGCCGGTCCAGCTGCTGGGTGTCGATCTGAGGGCAGTGCACACCGTTGGCTGCACTTTCTGCACACAGACAGCATCACTTAACGCCGACACTTCGACAGCACGATGAAAAGAGACAACCACAGCGCCAGGTTTTCTGGACATGCTGAACTCAAAGCTTTGTCATGTGATCGTATACCTTCCTCTGGGTCAGCGGGGTTAGCGGAAGCACCTCTAGCATTTGTTGCGTCAGACCTGCTGCTGCCGCTGCGAGGGTTAAACTCGGCTTTAAGCTTCATGCGCTCATACTCCCTAATCCTCACCAGAGCTTTGTCTAAATGAATCACTGTGTTGCCTGTCAGAGAGGCACAGAGAGGAGGGCGAGGAGAGAGACAGAAAGAACGTGAAAGGTTCAAAAATCAATGAGGTGAAGGAGGAGGAACGGAGTGAATATTAATGCAACCAGCTTTACAGCACAGGAACAGTTTCTCAGCCTCACTCTGAATTGATTACAGTGAGATCGGTTAATGAAAGGAAGCCAATTTACTCTGCAGCATTAATCCTAATGTGTAAACTGGTTGGTTAAAGATGAGAAGCCCTGTTAAAAAAAGTATCAGATCCTTCGTTAAAGTTCCAAGTTAAAAGCAAAGCACTTAGTTAGTACACAAAGGGGAAAGGAGAGGACGGTGAACCTGACATTTAAAAAGAAAAAGAAGCAGCAGAGAGGCGTGTGTACGCTTACCCAGGTCATCATTAGCAAAAGGTTCCAGGTTGGAGGAGGTTGACATGTTGCTGTCGTTATCAACAAATTCTGCGTCTTCTCTCCTCTTTAGATCCTGCTCATGCCTCAAGTTCTTCTCCAACACCTCCTGAAACAACGAGGCAGTCTGTGTTAGGGTTCATATTCCACAAACGTTTTAAACACTTGTTTAAAAAGTGATTTCTGTTCTTGTACGATAAAAGAGCAGGAATCAGATAATCTGATTTCACATATCAAGCAGGCAACAGCTTTTTGCCCCTCTGTCTTGGGGGCTGTCAACATGAATGTTGATTACCACTTTCAAAAACAATCAGTCAATGTAAATCACAGATAGAAAGTCATTAAAATTATTGGAAAAGTTGGTCACATATTTTGGGGTTTTATATAAAGTTAAAGTGAGATGATCAATCAGATTCCCGAAATATTCAAGAGTCAAATTTCCCCAAGAAAATCTTTTTATCTGTTGGAGTTTGCTTTAAATGTGTGCTAATTTAAAGATTTGAATCAAACCTGTTATTGGTAGTTGTATTTCTCTTATTAGCACATGAATCCTACTGTATTTCACCATTTGGGGGCAGATCAGATGCATTCCGGAAGAACACAGGTATAGAACTAATGTCTGCTCCCTTTCCACTAGCTGCAACCCAGTGCTTTCAAAACAAATGTTGCCATGGTATCGCAAGTGGCATCAAGGATGTTTCTTCAGATGGATATTGAGTTTGAAATTTTACCATAAAGATGTCCCTGTTTCCTAAAGAATCCACGGACACAGGGGAAAACCGGGGCAGATTTTAAAGACGCTTTTGCAATTTCTCCAGACAGTTTTCCTTACAGATCAGGAGGGGAGAAAAAACTCCAACATTTCAGCCATCACTCTTGAACAAAGGGAATATTCAGACAGACAAAAGACCTGACTCCCAATTAGCACAACTCTGGGGACCTTGGGAGAGAACAAAGAACACATGTCTAATCTGGCAAAAGAGATGCAGAGAGATGGGGGTCATTTTTTTATAGACGGGCTTCTGAGGCTCTGCTGTCGAGTCAAATTCAAAGGCAATGAAGAAGGGCGAGAGAAAATTAAGATCAGAGAATAAAGAAACATGGAAGGATGACAGGGGACAAGACAGAGACAGATGAAAGAAGACAAGGCTGAGTGAGAAACTAATGAAAGATGCATTTAAATATAGAAGAGGGAGGATGTTAAGGAAGTGGAGGGATGGGATGGCTATAAGGGCTGAAGGAGAGAATAAAAGGAAATCCAAAACATGAGACAACAAAAAGGTTAGAGGCAGAGAGTTCAGTGTCTTATTCATAGCCCACACACTTTGCCAGATTGTGTCACATTATAAACACAAACCTTAATGAATTTGATTTTACTGAGAGTAAAAACAAAGTAATGCAGAATTGTTAAAAACAATAATTCAGACCCCTTTAAGCAAGCAAAAGAACTCAATTAAATTAGGTAACTCTTCAGGGAAGATTTCCAACAGCAGGAACAGAGAGACTAATCAGAATTGAGATAGAGCGTGAAAGAGAGAGAGATGCAGACAGACAGAGAGAAAAAGAAAGAGCATCATAGCATATTTCCTGCTTAGTCCAAGTCATATCAGTCGATATCAATAATTATTTATCGTTTTTTGTTTTAAATATTTGAAATAATGCCATAAAATAATGATTCTGTGAAATGACTCAATATTCTATCAGACATACATATCTATTGGTATGGGTCAGGTGTCTATTTCAACATATATTTTTACTGATTTATTGTCCAGCTTTAACACGTCTAACAGCCGACTCACTTCATCACTGGTGACCAGACTCTGGCTGGGAGTCAGCTCAGACTGAGAGCCTGCTGTCCACACAATCGACCCCAGGGGAGGCAGCTGGTCCTCGGCCGCGCGCCTCACTGCCAGGTGCTTGGTCACTATGTCCTGAGGGAAACACACCATTACATTGCTAAAGCCATCACCGCAAAAAAAAAAAAAAAACACACACACAACTGTTTACCAAATGTTTTTGGTTTAGTTTCTAGTGCAAAATATTTCAATACTTTCAAATCAGAGAAAACTGACTCAGTGCATTTTCATCAAGATATAGGAGCTTATAGTAAGAAAATACTGACTTAATATTGATGACAATGTTCTAGTTCCACTGGCAGATTACTTCACTTATAACAACACATCTTTCCCATGGGAAATAATCTGACACTTTTTCATCAACATTAAAGATTTACTTTAAATAATCTCCCACATCTTGCTGAAAAGTTACTTGTATGTTAGTTTATTTTCACTAGAATCTAGACCAAAATTACTTGGCAAGACTTTGAGTTTTTGCAGCCCATCTGATATTTTAATGTTTTTATATCAGCTCATTCTCTGTTTAATGGAGGCTCATCAGATCCTGTCACAGGTTTCTCCCAAAATACACATCCCCATTTAAAACAACACTGGCTGAGACAGACAGATGATCATGGGAACGGGAGTCACCTGCAGCGAATACAGAGCTCTTTGGCGTAAATAGTCTGTGTTGAGCAGCTGCAACTCATGGAAGAGCTCGATGAGAAAGTGGGGTCTCGACTCATTCTGCGATATCAAAGTGGCCACCTCAGAGTAAATGGTCTCCCGCAGCGCCTCAAACAAGGAGAAGTCGCTGCTCGCATCTACAAGCCAGAGATTTGATGTCAGCCTTGGGAACATTTTGTCTTTTAATTGATCAAAACTAAATAACACTTTTACTGAGCAAAAAAAGTTACACATAAAAGTAGACATCATAGATGAATAAAAGGCATGCATGATGGTTAGGTAAGAACAAAGTGATGGAAGATGTGCATGGTGACTTTACCTGGAGCTTCTGTGCATGCAATTCTGTTAGAGAGGAAGGGAGTTCTCCAAGCATAAGCTGTGAGTAGGATAAATTAAAAGCACTTTGTGTCAAAATAAAATAGAGTCAGGGCAATGACAAATGTGCAAAGAAACATAACTGAATTGGAAGAAACTGAAAACAAAGCTATAAATGAAGAAAAATATTGTGACTAATAATACATTCAGGGACTCAGAAAGGTAAAGTGGGAGCGTTGAGTTGCGAGCGTTAGAGCTGTACCAGAGGACAGGTCGTTCCGTTTGGTTCCGAGCCTCGCCTTGCTGTCCAGTTTTTCTTGAGTCAGTTTGTCCAACAGAATCTGATTCTGGTCTTTGTGATGAGACAAGCCTGCCCTCTCCTGGCCGAACTCTGCAGTGCTGCTAAAGCTGTCGCTATCTTGGCCTGGAGGACAAAACGAAACGATGAAATCTAGTAATATCTATTTTATTAATATTTATGTATTCATTCATGTGAGAAGCATGTTTAATAAACTGCGAGCAGAGTGAGAATGGTGACCTCCATTGTTCTTGTTGTGCCCTTTGCTCTTCCTGCGTCTGTTTTTGGAGGTTTTGCTTCGAGATGCCAGGTTGGCTTGTGCAGAGGCCTTTTTCCCAGGCTTAAAGGTCTTTGTGACCGTGGCCGGATCATCGGGATCAGGGATACTGCAAAAGCTGTCCTGGGAAGCCTTAAACTCCTGCACCCTCGACTGGGATTTGTTAAAAATGGGGGATGAGAGAGGAGACTCTTGCAGCTCTGCTTTAGACGGCAGATGTCGGGTTATGTTGTTGGTGTAGGAGGTGTTCAGTCGTACAGCTGATCTAAAAAAAATGGAACAATGAAAATATGAGTATAAATGAAAATGTAAACCTAAATAACAGACAATAAATATACAATAAATATCTTGTTTTACCCTCCTTCTGAAGCTGTGTTGAGAGGAGAGCGCTGCAGTGGCGGAGGGAAACCCATGTACTCGGTTTTGATCGATGTATTGGGATCCATTTTATGATGCTCAGGTGAAGCTGGACCTTCTGCACTCGGAGGAAACTCACCCATGGCACCAGGGAATGGCGGATACAAGTTGAAGCCTCAAATGAGGATGAAAGACAAGAGAAACGTTTAACACACTGCCAAAAAAAAGAAGAAAAAAGGTCAGACTTCCTTTTCTTCATTAATTGCAAAAAAAAAAAAAAAAAGGAAATTTTTAACCTAAATATCTGCTGCTTCTTATGCAAGGTTAGGCCTTTCATGAAAACTTTTGCTGAGCGATAAATTGTGTCAGGAGTTATTATGATCAACAATAACATTGTTATTTTCAAGTAACAAAATGGCAATAATGCAAGAATAGTCTCCCAAAGAAAAACTTTCAATTCTAACAAACATTTAATCCTGGAACTGGAAGACATATCAAATATTCAAAATAAATAAACAAAACAACAAATAAAATGAATTATGAAGTCTCTGTTAAAAAATTGTTGTTAGACTAGTTAAGACCAAAACACCACACTCAAGACTTTGGTTATAGAGTTTTTCTTAGTCAGACCAAAACAAAGCAAAACGATACATAGTGTAAATGAAAATTATTGACCCCCTTACAACTTATCATGCAATTAATTGATTAATTGCAACAGGCAAGATAAAGCCCAAAACTAATCAACGTGGCTGTCATACCGGGGGAGAATGGAGATAAGGTGGAGTTCGCTACGTTGAGAGCTGAAGGATGCATCGTAGAGGTAAAAGGAAGGAATATGCCGGGGGAGGCAGAGGGGCTGGGACCGGACTCCTGAGCCAAACTCTGCTTCTGTGTCTGCCAACCTGGTGCTGAGGGGGAGGGCTGCTGCTGCTGCTGCTGATGATGATGATGATGCTGCTGCTGATGCTGCTGACGCTGCTGCTGCTGGATCAGGTCGTTCAGAACCTGTTTCAGCCTGAAAGCAAAGGAAAATATTACAGACAAACCTCCATCTGAAAGAACTTACTCCTGTTTATAGATACAAGTTTGTCGTTTCACCTCTGGACGTTGCTTTGCTGCCAGGCCAGCTGGGTGTAGCACTGATTGAGCTGATGCATCACCAGGTGGACTTGAGGTGACGACACGTTGTTGGGCAAGACGCTGTACTGGCCCGTCAGCAGGGTTTGTAACATGTATGACAGAGTCTGTGGACAAAAAGCATCACTTTCACTGACTGACTACATATCAAGACGGAATAGCAGCACCGCTGTCAGTCAGATGCTGTTCAGACATGGGGTTAGCTTGTGAAGCTGATTTTATTATGATAGTTTTAGATTAAACAAGTGCCTTTGTTAGAGAATATTTTAAACATATCAATAAACTAGTTTTCTAGCTTATGATATGATAGGATAAAACTACTCTCAACTGGAGAGTAGAGCTTAAGTCACAGTTTCTATCTTGCTGCATTCCATAGAAAAGACTTGTGATATGCAAGTTATCTTCCTCCATAAAGAATCTGAGGCAGATTTAGAGAAGCGTCTTTGTTTTAACTCAGATCAGTTTGATTTTCTGACTTGAATTAGTACCTGATTCTCAAATATTTGCATCTGTATCGGAAGTGAAAAAAGTGGACTTGTGCATCTGGAGAAAGAGCCACGGTTTTACTTTGGGCTCAGATTTGTTTAGTTAACATTTTTCTTAAATTTGGTCATCCTGTTCAGATTGTTACAGAAGTTATTGCTTCCAGAAATCAGAAGAATAAGTCAATATGTTTACATGGTTGGAGATCATGAAAGTCTGAGATTCTGAAATTTGGTCTAAGAGCTCAGATGTGAACATGCAGCTATTCCATCCTGAATCAGACCAGAACATCCACCAGTAACACCTATCAGAACCAGGTCCAAACAGAGAGTATGTGTCTGCTTGGATCACTCACCTGTTGGTCCTGCAGGAGCGTCTGACACATGCTGGTGCTGAAGTCCAGCTGCCTCTGAAGCTGATTCATCTGCTCCTGCCAGTGGCTGGAGCCCTCGGCGAAGGAGAGCTCTGAGGCCCAGCGTAGGTTCTCCTGACGCCGGACGCCTCCGTGCTGGCCCACAGGCGGCTTCGCGCCTCGGCTCTGATCATTCACCTTTGTCTCGTTGTAAAGATGAGCCTCGGAGTCACAGGAAAAGGCTGCCGGAGGCTTCAGGTTACTGAAACATTGAGCGCACACAGACGGAGAAAGAGATGACGGATATTTAATCAGCAGGGCTAAAATGGTCAAAGTGTGGACCTTCTGCCCGCTGGTCTCACCTTCCCTGATTCTTCCTGTTACTGTAGGAGCTCTGGTTCATCCTGGACGAGTAGATGTGGATCTCATCATCGGAGCTGCTCTCTGTACATTCTTCCTCTTCCTCCTCAGCGCACATCTCAGAGTGATAATCATCCTCTTCCTCATTCTCATCATCCAGGTTGCAAGGACTGGACCCCCATGTGGCCATTGTTCTAATGACAAATAAGAATCATGAGAGGAGACACTCCGAGCCAATAGTAATATCTGTATTGATCACTATACTGAAAAAAATTCCAGTTTTTTTCTCCTGATCCTTGAGGGCAGATATATTCAGTCAAATGCTACGCTTTATTATTTATTTTACCTTATATTTAAAATTTTGAGTTCCACTTTTTTAATTATTTGAAAACGGTTTGTCGCAGTTTATATATTTCACATGTTTGACTAAGCGTGGAAAGCTATTGGTATATTAAAGTGTGCTGTATTAGAGCAGATTTATCAAATTAACTTGTAATTCAGTACATTCATGTCTGCGTTTAAAAAAAAAAAAAACATTTCAAATCATTCCAGCACTGTTTGTCTGTATTAGATCAGTATCATCAATAATTAACCTCAGATATCAGCTAAATGCATGTAGCTGCAACAATTAATACTTCAAATAGTAATACTAGGATGACAAGAGCTTTGTTGACACCAAAGGAACATGAAACATCGTAACTGAATTGATATGATGATAGGAAGTGCGTCTTCTACCTCTCATCCCTGTTGATGGACTGCGAGAGAGTAGCACTCCCCTCCTGCTCTTCCATCTGACAGGAGGAGTCACGGAAACCGCTACGTCTCTGATGTTCGGCCATCAGCGACTCCAGCTGCTTTCGCCGCTGTCGCAGGTCTTCTCGCAAAATTTGTCTCCGCCTCATTTCGGACCAAAGCTGCTGGCGGGGCAAAAACAGCTTTACGGTTTGGAAAGCGTTTTGGCTGGAGACTGAGGGTGTGAATCTGTTACCTCGTTGTCGGTGACGGAGGAAGAAGCTGCCTCCTGAGCGGTGGGTTTGAGCACGGTTAAGTTGGTTTTGGGTCCAGGGGGAGGAGAAGCTTTGACGTTAGCAGGGGTGGAAGCTGCAAGTGGAGCCTTCCTCAGCAGACCGTGCTGGCTGCCTGTGCTGGACACAGACGACTGCAGAGGAGGAAATACTTCACTTTCAAATCAAACGATCTAATCCTTTTAGCATTAGCATAATGTTTTTAATGACAGGTGCAAGCTTTAAAGCTGGAGCATGTAACTTTTATAAACAATGTTTATTTTCTTCCTGTGAATGGAAAAAAAAATTGAGCTCCTCTGCTTTGTCCCAGTGCTGCTCCCCTCACAAAGCATTTGTTGATCTAATTTAAGACTCTACATCAAGGATGTCTTCCAGAGAAGAAACAGAATTTCACTTTTTTTTCCTTTCACATTTTAGTTCACATGAAACTCTGAATAACTTTTGGACAAGCAAATTCGTAATTTAAACTTTTAGCTGTTTAGAATCAAATACCGGAAGGTCTGGGCAGGTCCACTGCAAGTCCTGGATCTTTCCTTGGATTTCTATAAGTCTTTGTCTTTCCTCGTGAAGCTGCCTCAGTTCCTGCTTCTGCTGACGTAACTTCTCCTCGTACAGCTTCTCCCTGTTAGAAAAACACATGATAATTACATAACTCAACAAGTTGCAGGACTAGATGCTAATGGTTTATTTTACTGCACCGGGACTTGGTGGAGAGAACCAGGTCTCTTGGATTCTGTTTGGATCCGGCCCCAGACGGCCCGCACACAGCAGATCGGGTGTTATTGGGCTGCTGGTGTAAAGCTTCATCGTCATTGGCTGTTGTTCCATCCGTGTCATCACTCTGCGTCACAAACAGATATGTAGATTCATTGTTTCTTTAACACAATATTAATAATTTTTTTTTTCAAAGAATTAAACATGATAAAATGATTAATGCTGTTAAAGAAACAACTCCTTTATGCTTCCAAACACTTTTAATAGCAATTCAGGACTGACATTGAAAATAACATGTTCTACGTCTGATTTTACGAATGAGGTTTAAAATATCAAGCTTGAGAAAACAGTCAGTTCTGCTAATCAAGGGAAAATGAAACACTGTCACAGATGACTGCTCATATGTTTCTGTTAGAACACCATTTTTTTCTATGTACTTGAGGCAGAAAATAGGTATTTAGGCTTAAAAGTTTTATTTAAAATGTTCTGGGAAAAACTACCTGATTTAGTAACAGGTGAAAAACTTTTAGTAAAGTTAACTGATGTTCTTCAGTCAATCCAGTTAGTTAGCCAGACGCTGCATGCCGTACCTGAACCATGGCAACCAGCTCCTGCAGCTGCCTCAGCTTCTGCGTCGCCATCTGCCGGTGAACCTTGGGAGGGAAACCCGCAGCGTTCCCAAAGCTGCTCCCTCGACTGGACTCCGATGCACTGTCTGGAAGCATGGCCTGGCCTCCTTCATCATTATCAATGCCGTCTACATCATCATCATCATCCTTTACCTGCACAAAGGCAAGGTCCCTGTTGTACTGGCACTCTAAATCAAGATAAAAGTTAAAATCATGTTAAATACAGTCATGTTCACATAAATCTAGAGATGAATGAATCTCAATTAGAACTTTTAAAATGTAATTTATCTAATGTTTCTTATTTGAGCAAATAACCAGATATAAATGCGGAAGGGTATTTGTGTTGATGATGATGCAGCTGAAGATCTTTAGCTTTGATATTCCAATAATTTTACGGCTTGGTTACCAAAATCAGCTCCTTACCAGAGTCAACAGTAAGCTTTATATTAAGGTTCCTGAATGATGACAATAAGCAATTAATCTATTAATCTCATGACAAATTAAAACGAGTTTGATCATTTCCATTTTGATAAATTTTTTGAAGGGCAAGTTTTTTTACAGAGATTTCATAATCCATTGTATTTATGGTTTTGGTTGCGTGCGTGTGGTTTCAATTTGGATATTTAAAATATCTTCCAGTTCCAGTGTGGAGTTACAGTATATATAATTAATTCTATAACAACTATCATTTATGTGATTTTATTAACATTTTCTTCCAAAACACCCCAAGCCAAATCCTCTAACTACACTGCAGACATAAGAATGAATGTTTTTCCTCAGGTCTAGTGTTGCTGTGTTACTTGAGCAGACCTATAGGCGTGGTGACGTTGAGGCTGCGGAGGTTGGCTGCTGCTCGGTTGTTGATTTCACACTCGGTGTTGAGTCGACCGTCCTGGTTGTTTGTAGTGCTGCTCCTGAAGCTGCGGCCGTAGGTCAGGCTATTCACTGCGTGTCTGTTTACGTCTACAGATCCATCCACCGACTCATCTTCATCCTCCTCCTCCTCCTCATCATCATCAGGCTCTTTCACATTTTCATTGACGGCGTCCACCATCATGTCAGACGTCTGCTCATAGTACTGAACCAACTCCCTCAGTTCATTAAGGCGCTTATGGACCTCCTTCAGCTTCCTGTTAGCGGATGAGACAAAATGATGAGTGCAGCTTCAGTGGAAAACTTTATACTTGCTCACAATTTGGACAAGTGCTACATCTTTTAACGCTTTATCTAAAGACGACGTCCCACTGTATTGTGGGGGATGATGATGCAACAACAAAACTGCAATGGCGTTTTAAGTAAAAAATTAGGTGATCCAATGTTTCAACCCTATCAACACTTTATGGACCATGCACAAAATCAGAAAGAAATATCTGGAAACAGAAAAAAAGCAAGAGGGTAGTGCAAGGAAGAAATGTAGAAAATATATCAGTATATGATTTTTAACAAAGGACATTATTGAATAATTGAATAAATACATAATATGAAAAAGATCAAATAAAGGAAACTAATGTATAAAAGAATAAGATCAGAAATAAAATGGAAAATTAAATACCTGATTACATTAAATTAATAATGTTGAAAATTATCAAAAATTAATGTATAGTTAAACAGGTTTGGGAAGGTTCTATTGATTTTTTTGGATGCAATATTTCACACATTAAAAGACCATGAAGCCAACTAAATATTTCTATGTTTGTTTCCAGAGCAGTGGAAAGAAAAAAAGAAAAAAAACGTATAAAAACATTCAAACTCGCCTAAATATTTAAGTTGTTTTTTGTAAAAGTTCAAAACACAAAAATATTAAAAGTAACATCACATTGATGATGTTGATGGGTGAAAGTTTCCAGCCAGAACTGCATTTCAAAAGACACAAAAAATGTAATTCAGCAGAGAAAAACTAAAAGTAGTCCACAGAGGATGGACAGCAGAAGGTTCACCTATGCTTCAAAACACTGCTGTTCATATCTGACCCTGAGCTCATAGCTGTCTGTGTGTGTGTGTGGGTGTGTGCGTGCGTGTGCATGCGTGTGTGGGTGTTTGTACCTGAGCTTGTCTGAAGAACCGGAGCCGTTCTGTTGTGTGAATAAAGGCTGAAAGGAAGTAGAGGCTGCATTGGAGCAGAGAGCTGATGTACAATCTGAAGATCCTCCTAAACTTGAACTGCACTGTGCTGACAGACCCCGACCTGAAGGACGCCACAGGACATTCATCACCACTTCTTAAAGGTTAAAGGAAAAAATAAAAAAATAAAGGCTGAAAAAGAGCCATACATGAGTTGTTGTTTAGTGTCTGGTCTCGCAGTGAATGCAATTCTTGCAGAATCTTGTCCATTGTTTGCTTTTTATCTTTAAGTTCTTGTAACTTGGTGAGTTTGGTGCTGGCGGCAGCTCCCTCGGTGTCCAGACCGGCATGCGGGCCGGAAGCGGAGTGAAGGAGCGGCCTGTGCTGAGGTGGACCAACAGCGTGGGGGGGGCAGGACCAGGACACTTCTCCGGAGAGGGACAGGCTCTGAGCCTGATGACGGTTATCTGGCACCGATTTGGTCTGGTGGAAGAGAGCAGTTTACCCCTTGACCAGCTGTCTACTGTCAAATCTATTAGTTTTAATACTAATAGATTAAAACTAATAGCTACATTTATTAGCAACTCTAATAAAAATGTTTAACTCGTTTTTTCCAGCAGCAAACCTCTCACACTGCACTTTAAGGCTTTTTGTGCATTTTTAATATGTATGTTATTTATTGTGGCCAGCACTAGATGAAATGTCGGCATGCTGTTTGAGAATTTTAAAGGAGGTACAGATATATTATGGCAGTTACCATGGTAACCTAGCCACAGATATAGTTTGTCCTGTACCTGAGAGTCGTGCAGCTGGTTGTGGAAACGCTGAATCAGCTCATTTAACTCTTCATTCAGTTCTGATGTGATGCTGAGGCCAGAAACACTGCCGGTGGTTTCTGTCACGACTGCAGGCAAGAACAAAAGAGCAAAAGTATATAAAGTGTCTTTCTGACAATATTTTTGGAAAAAATAAACATGTAGCTCCAAAACAGAAACGTGTATGTATAAATATTTCAGTTTTATTCCTATAATGTATCTAAAAAAGTTGTTTGTGAGAAAAGAAGAAATGGAACTGAAATGATATACCGACGCTCCAGATAGAACTAGTTTGAAAGCATGCGTAGCATCACCTGTGTCTTCGATCACAGCGAGCGCCTGCTCTGCACTGTGCTGCATGGCCATTAGAGCTTCCTGTCGGCCCTGCAGCGCTCTGAGCTGCTCCTGCTGCTCCAGCATCTTCTTCAGCAGCTCATGCTGCTTACGCAGGTTCTCCAGTTCCTCCTTCTGGTCGGCACGCACACCCACTGTCCTACCACCCTGAAAATTCACAATGCAAAATTTTAAGCACCTAGGGTCAATGGTCCAGAGGAACAGAGAGGTGAAGGAGTATGTACAAACAGGAAAGTGGTTTGTTAGATTCCAGTAAATTAACTAACAATGTTTAGTGTTGTAGTTTGCCCTGTTTTCCAAGGAATTTAAAGTATAAAATATTAGACATATCTCCCACAAATGTACTCACTATTATATTTGAAGCATCTGAAGACTGGACCTCTACGTTAAGGGAGGAGCTGTCAGCCAGTGACCCTGATCCGACCGCGGAGTCCAGCGTCCCAACGTCACAGTCACTCTCCTGGGCCTGGAGAAAAATCACACAAACATTCATCAGGAACTTGTGCTACATGCCAATGAAAGGAGCTGTATAAGTTAAACTGCAGAACAGAATAAGTAATGGAATAACACATTTATAAAACTAAAAAAAACACACAAAAAACATCTGATCAGAAGCCCTGAGAAAATACATATTCCATTTATAAAATCAAAGGAGAAGGATTACGTTTTCCAGGCACATAGGCCCCATTAGAACACAACCCAATAAATATCTTAATTTCTACTTTATAAAAATATTATCTAATTACTTTTTTTTTTTAATGACTTCATAATTTAGTGCCTTGAAATTGGAAAACTCCTGCTCTTTCTAAACCTCTGCCTTCAAGACAACATGGCTTCTTTATTTACTCTTTAACAACATTTTTATCAGCGTTTTGCTAATTACTCCTGGCTAGTCTGAATATTGCAAGTGAGGGCTGAAGTTTGGAAAGTGCAGCTCCGAGGAGAAGCTGCATCTCAAAAGAAGGACTAGATCCCAAAAGGCCTTTTGCACAGATGAATAGTTGCCAAGGATTTCTCAAACATACATGGAAGAAATACTCCAGATATGATTTTGGTGAGGGAATAACATTATAACATTATAACTATGGCATTTAAAAAAAACAAAACAAAAAACACCAAAGATGTGAATGAGAAAACTCAACACACTTACAAGCATTTTCTGTAGGAAGCGTAGATAGGACTTCTCCTGCTCCTTGAGGTGGTCGATGAGGTAAGAAAGACGCTCAACGTTGGCGGGAACGTCATTTTTTTCCACCAGATCGTCCCTCATGGCGCTGGCCTTACTGATGTATTCCCGAATCTGAACCAGTTTGCTCACCACCTGAGAGCGCACAAAGGGGAGTACGGTGGAGGTTTGTGATGTAGAGAAGAAAACACACAAAAAGTATTGGGTGAGCATCTGTAGATATAGCTGTGACTGGTACACACGAGGGATGAGAGGGGGCTGGGCAAGAAACTCGCAGGGCGCCATTGGTGGCATATTTAGAAACTGTCCTATATATGGTCTGGTTTTAGCTGCACAACCTCTCCCTCACTTTCATCCTAGTTTTGGTTTTTTCCCCAAGCAGTCGAGAGAACTGCCATGTACAAATACACAGCTGTACAGAGACACGAAGACACTTTCACTCTGTTTCAAAGTGTTTTTCACATTTTGTGGTATTTTGTTGTGATTTCATGTGACAAACCAACACAAAGTAACAAATAACCAAAGTGAAAGTAAATTATGTGGCTCTCAATTTATATTTTTTTGCAAAGAAAAATTGAAGACTAGAGTGAATGTTTTTGGCTTCCTGCTCAAAATATGACTCAGTCCCACAGTTGGAGAACAGGATCCCACCTGATTGTCATTTAATCTGACTAACTCAAAAAAAAGAGCGAGAAGGTGGGAGATCTGGGATGATTGGTTAACATGACAACAAGTCATTATGACCCCTTATATGTCAGGCATTTAAAGCTCTAGTAAGCTTGAGTTAGCTTTACAAAAAAAAAAAACTGCCACACCTCACATTTGTTGTATATGTGCTTGTGATATTTTTCAAAAGCCATCACCAAAAAGCCACATTTTAATTTTACCTCCAATTCATCATGACTTTTGTTTTGGTCTGTCAAAATAAATAACATGCATTGAAGTTAGGGCTGGACAATAAATCTTTAACAATATAAATCACAATAGACATACGATGTGATCAATGTCAGTAGATAATGAGTCTCATGGAATATTCAAAATGTCATTTATAGAATATTCGCTGAACTCCGATCTGGAACTGCACAACATTCTGGCATTCTGACGTGGAAAGGCTTCAACTCACTCAGTCTTTGGTTACCTAGCAACAACCTGCTGAATATTGTGTGCAGCAGCAGTTTTAGGTTTCAGTTTCATGGAGTGAAAACTGAGGGTACAACAGTAACTGTCATGCCACCAGTTTGGCGTAACTTCAGATATTTAAAACAAACAAAAAAATCAATATCAATTATATTGATATCGACTGATATAAAACACTTACATCATGATAAGTTTTTCAGCCACATCATCCGGTGCTAATTCAAGTTTGTGGTAATAATTTGATCAAATGCTAGCTTTTCAACAGTTTAGCAAGTTTTTCTATTTTTGATAGCATCAAACACTAGCTGACTGTCATACAGATGTCTCTAACCACAAAGCATTACCTGGCTGCTGTCTATTGTGGGCGCTGGCCTCCCATACTCTCCTTCCATCAGAAGTCCTCTGCCTGTCCCACAGCGACTCATCCTTGGCGACTCCTGGCGAAGACCTACTGGACTTAATGTTTCTCTCCGCCCTGCACTCTGCTTCTTGGTTTCCTTTGTGATAGCTGGAGTAGTTGGGGCAGAAGCTGAGGGATAGATCAGCTCTTTGCTCTTGTTAGTGTTGACATGCAGAGGCAGGTAGTTGAAAGGCTTCTTGTTCTCTCCGGCTAGCTGCCGCTGGTTGTTGGCAGCAGTGACGCGGCCCTGGGAGTCACTGCCGATGCTCCGCTGGTTGACCAAAAATCAGACCACACAGATTATTACTTGGGCCCTTGGCCATGATGTTCGTTTTCAAACTTCCAAGCGACGTAGCTGCATAAGCACTCATAAGTGATGCCCTTTTTGTGTCTTACAGTTTAAAAGAAAAATAAATCACAAAACATAATTTAACAGGGAATGGTTTTCAGTTACAAAACATGAAGCTGTTATTTGATAGCAGAGCATCATCTAGTATTCTGCTGATAAACTAAAAAACCTTCTTATGACACTAAAAGTCAAACTGATGCTATAACAGTAGAGTGGATTAAAGTGATCTTCTGACAATTTTGGCATTTTCCTGATTCAGTAGATCATGCATGAAAGGGTTTTAAAGCCAAACCAATCAACTGCAAATCCTGAAGGTAGATCTGTGACTGTAGGGAACTTCTACAGAATTTGACCCACATTAATAGGCTATGTTTACACAACATGCAAATGCAAAATAAATAAATAAATAAATAACAGAAAAAAATGTTGGATTTCAGAGAAAAATTAGAAATGATAACCAAAACCTGCTTTAGGTAGGCTTAGTTAGTAAGGAAACCCCAACAGTTCTGTCTCCAACTTCAAATGTCTTTTTTTTCCTGGTTAACTAAACTATTTTTTAAACTTTCTAAAACTTTTGTCTCTTTTTTTCTTGGCTTTTATTTTATATTTTTGAATAAGTTCTGTGGATATTTAATAAAAATATAAAGAATCCACAAAAGCAGACTGGTTGAGCTCTGCAGTCACATAACCAAAACTCCTGAGACACTGAAGAGTTTCATCCCATTACCAGTCAGTTCCCTCAGCTATTTCCCTTATTAGATACTTCCTGTGGCTAAGGAACATCGAAGACATTATTCAGTATTGTGATGTCTACCTCATCCAGATCTGTGAAATTGATCCTTTGGCGTAGCTTGTCCAGTTCAGCCTGGTCAGGAACAGACATTTGGGTCGTGTATTTGATGTGGGAAAAAGAATGAGGAGCCCGAGTTCTCCTGCGGCCGGCCCCTGGGGTGGACTCTGGTGAAATATCATTAGTCAGCCGGCTCTCCACTGCTGCAGAAAGCTTCTTCTTGTTCTTCTCTGTCGACCGGTTAGCTTTCTTTTGCTGAATCCCCCAGTTCTGCTCAAACACGACAGGAAATGTTTGTTAATAATAATAAAAAAACTTATCTGCAGAGACTAATGATGGGAGACACGCATTTAAAATGTTAATCATGCTTTTTGTGAAATTTATTGTAATGATAATCTCAATAAGGATCATAGATATTAAAACTGCAATGATGATGTTTACATTGAAAATGAATGGCAACAGCAAGCCTTTTATCTCGAGAGAATCTACAGGAGGAGTGCAAACTTGTTCTCATTTTGGCCAAAACTGTCAAGTCAAAGTAATCGCAGTCGAAGGATAAAAAAAAAAGAGAAAACAAGCAAAAAAATCATATTGAGTATTGTTTTTACCCGCTCAATAAAATAAATGTATAATATTTTAATTCAACAAATAGACCAGTCAGATTTTTTTTTGTAGGAAAGTGATGTATAAATCATTGTACATCTAAAACTTTGCAAATTAGCCTTAATAAAGAATGGTAAACAGTTTGCACATTCTTCTGGGCACTATTGTAAAAAACAATAAATTTATATATATATATATATATATATATATATATATATATATATATATATATATATATATATATATATATATATATATATATATACATATATATATATATATATATATATATATATATATATATATATATATATATAAAGACGAGAATTTTGAAAATTCTTGCTTGTGAAAGTGTAATAAAAGAGCAAATTTGGGTGTGCCAAAGTCTCCCTTTAATTAAAACATACTCGACAGATGCAGTTCCATTTCATTTAAAAGGAGGATATAAATTGGAAGGCTTTTTTTTTCCTCAAATACCCAATATCAGATTTTGAATCCCTCAAACATTGACGGCTTCTTATTGGCAGTTATTTATTATTGCAAGATTATACATTCAATTGGTTATTTTTGTTTTATTTAGGTTGATAAAGAGTGTTCTACATCGGAGCTAGTGACAAACCATTGTATAATGTAGATAAAATTATGGGAAAATAACTGGTTCCATAGGTTTGTATTGCCAAAAATGATGTGTAAGTGGGACTTTGTGTAAGTGTCAGCCCTCACCATATTGTTCAGTCTGTCTTCCAGACTGCCATTGGGTGCTGTCCAGGTCTGCAGCTCTTCTGCACTGTCATCAAATGGAGCACCTCCGGTTGCCATGTCACCCACTTACAGCTTGCTGGAAAGAACAACAAACAGTGAGAGGGTCAATGACCAGAACACGAAAAGAAGGAAATCCAGTTCCAAACCCCAAAACAAGAGAGCTGTTGCATAAACGGCTTCACTTCAATCATAATTTAAAAGGAATGTTCATCAGTCTACATACTACATCTACTTTGTATATGTTCACAACAGGCACAAATGAGTCTTCTTCGAAAATAATTTAAAATTAGATTTGGAAGTAATACTGATTATTACCACAAAAAGACTCCTCAAAACTGCTTACCGGTTTCAAATCAGTTAGCCAAAACTGAAAACATTATTCTTATTCTAAGCTGTAACACCTAACGTTAGAGGTTAACGCTGATATGAGTCCATACTTCTAACCGACAAACATTAACCTTCCATTGAAGGTTAATGAAGAAAAAGAAAAAAAAAACGTTCTGGTTAATTGGTGACCAGTCGCTTAGCGTTAGCTGCAGCTGGGTTGTGCGTGGCGGTGACCGCCCGCTTGGACTGACCGTCCATTCACCGCGCGAGAGGCTAGCACGAGCTTCCAGTTGGGTCCTTCGTTACCAAGTAAAAAGTGAAACAACAACAGCCATTGTCGTAGCCACTCTTAGTTCACACTGGACTTGATGCTTGGTGAACCCCGCTAGCCAAACGTCTGTGACCTATTTCCGACCACCAGTCGCCATGGCAACAAACAATATGATATTTTTGTGTTGTTTTCAATATTTTCACTTTCAGTGTTAGGCGCTTACCCTAAATCATTGCTAACAAGTTGCTAAAGTTGTATGTGTTAAGAATTTAGGTGGCTAATACCCATTAGCTTGATCCCAGCTTCGCACAACAGACAACTTAAAATGTGTCCGTAGTAAAGTATTTGATATGAAATAAAAATCTCGCGTAACGTTTAGAAACCTACTATCTTCTTAGTTAACTTGCACGGTTACCGTGTGTACACCTACAGAGGCTAACAAACGTTAACAAGGCAATCTGTGGCTGGCTTCAAACAAAGCTAGCTAAACATTTTTAAACCGGAAAATGATCTCACCGTTTAAAACAATGAAACAGACTCGCAATGACAAGCCTCGTGTACTCAAGTAAAGACAGTATATTTTCTTCTGCTAATCCACGAATCTGCAACTATTTTCCATGGCTCCCAACATCGCAGCAACCAACTATGGTACTAGCCTGATGTTACAACCTCCCAACAGCAGGTGGCAACGCAATGCATCAGCCAAAACGAAAGGATGTGGAAAGTTGTCACCGCCACGTTGTGAGTGGCATTTTGTTAAGATAAACTCGCGACTATTTAGTCTGTTGTGACAATATGATGCATTTCTCTTTTGTTTCAAATTATGTAGCAAATGAAAAAATATTATTTAATTACATGTCTGAATAGAACTGAAGTTTGTTCAACATATCTTTATTTCGTTTTACATTTTACATTTAGCATGGACTTCATGTGTATCAGTGACGTGAAGAACAACTATTAACACACCTATTGTGACGCCACTGATTTAACATTGTCCAGTCTAATTTGTTCTCAAGAAGAAGAGTTGGCTCTTATAAATAAATTAGACCGCAACTATTTTTATGCTACTGCTTATAATAATAATAATAATAATAATAATAATAATAATAATAAAATAATAATAATAATAAATTACATCAGACTTAAATAGTGCTTTATTTGTAAACTCAAGAGCGCTCAATATGAAATTAATCATTTTCATTCACGCACACATTTATATTTTGTGAAAGAAAAATATTTTCGAATTCATCTCCTGTTCTGAATTCAGTCCCGGTAGGTGGCGCTAGCTCACCTTATCTTGCTTTGCGACGTCCTGATTACTGCAAAAGAGGAAAAAGGTTGTCGTTCGACATTCGTTTCAAGTTTAGACCCGTGGACGGCTGTGGATTTTAAAACTGGACTGAAAAACACAAATCATCAAAGCTGAAGCATCTGATCTTGCGCTTTGTGGATATCGGAGCTCGAAAACAAGATCTAAGTTTCGAAATGAGTGAGTTGCGTCATCGTGGTTAATTTAGCCTCTGAAGCTAACGTTAGCTAGCTTAAGCGTTAAAGCTAGCAGCATTTTCCTCGCTCACCCATCGAAATAAGACTCTGTAAGCTTTTCAACTTTCACTCGCTCACTCGTTTGGACCTTATAGTTGTAACCAGCGATGGGTTCTTCTAAAAAACACAAGGAAAAGAGCCGCGATAAGGACGCAGAGGATCGTCGTCGCGAACATAAGAAACATCGTCACAAGGAGAGAGAAAGAGATGTGTCAGACCGGGATAAAGACAGACGAAAGCGCTCCAGATCCAGAGAAAAGAGCAGGCGGGAGAGCCACAACAAGACCGAAAGAGGCGCCGGGGAGCCCCGAGTGAAGAGGGAGAAGGTTGACCCTGGTTATGAGGAGAGCGGCGCGGAGATCCAGCCACAGAGCAATAGCGGAGATGCCTCCCTCAGCATCGAGGAAACAAACAAACTGCGCGCTAAGCTGGGCCTGAAGCCTCTGGAGCTGAACGAGGGCAAGAAGGAGCTGGGGACCAAGGAGGCGCCGATGGTGGCGGAGACCATCAACCCCGTTCTGATCCGACAGCAGAAGGAGATGCGAGAGAAGCTCGCCGCTATGAAAGAAAAGCGCTTACTCAATCAAAAACTGGGTAAAGTCAAAGCGATCGGCGACGATGACTGGCTGGACGACACGGCCGGTTGGGTGGAGAGAAGCAGGAAACTGGCCAAAGAGAAGGAGATGGCAGAGAAGAGAGCCAAGCTCCTGGAAGAGATGGATGAAGAGTTTGGAGTCAGCAGCCTGGTGGAGGAGGAGTTTGTCCAAAGCAAGCTGGACTCTTATTCATCACAAGATCTGAAGGGTCTCAAAGTGCAGCACAAGGTGGACTCCTTCACCGAGGGCCAGACCGTTGTCCTGACCCTGCAGGACAAAGGTGTGCTGGAAGAGGAGGAAGATGTGCTGGTAAACGTGGGACTGGTAGACAAGGAGAAAGCTGAAAAAAATGTGGAGCTGAAGAAAAAGAAACCCGACTATAAGCCCTATGAGGAAGAGGAGAGTGTGGATGACATGGTCACCTTCAAGCAGCACACTGTGCTCTCAAAGTACGATGAAGAAATTGAAGGCGAGAAGAAAAAGAGCTTCCGGTTGGGCAGCTGGGGCTTCGCGGATGGGGAGCGAGAGCGCGAGCTTCAGGCGATGAAAGAAACGCTGCGGAATCAGGCTCAGTCCCTGGAGATGCCCGCTCTCACCATCGCCTCCGAGTACTACACGCCTCAGGAGATGGTCGGCTTCAAGAAGACGAAGCGCAAAGTCAAAAAGATCAGGAAGAAAGAGAAGGTGACGATCGCAGACGAACTTCTGGACGACACCCGCACCTCTGACTTCGGCTCGAGGGCGCGAGGCAGAGGCCGCAAACAGGCGGAGGAGGAGCAACAGGAGAGCGAAGAGAAAGTTAAAGATGGTGGCAACTGGCCGCACGAACTGCCCAAAATGTCAGACGACATCAGGACAGCAGAAATGGATATAAGCGACGAAGATGATTATGTTCCTCCTGAGCCGGCTGTGATTGAAGAGGATGAGGCGGAGCAGGAGCTCCAGAAACAGCTGGAGAAGCAGAGGAAGCTGAGGCAGAAGCAGCTCCTCAAAGACTCTGGGGAGAAGGTGGCGGCACAGATCAAAGTCCTGGCTAAAAGCGATGACGACCATGATCCCGAGAAGAAGAACAACATCGTCTTCAACGCCACCTCGGAGTTCTGCAGAACTCTGGGGGACATTCCTACGTACGGACTGTCTGGAAACCGGGAGGACCAGGAGGACATCATGGACTTTGAGCACAAAGAAGAGAAAGATGAAGGCGGAGGTTCAGATTCTGAAATTGACGAGAACATCGGATGGAGCACCGTTAACTTGGACGAAGAGCAGCAACAGGCGGACTTCTCCACGGCCTCGGCCACCATTCTGGACGAGGAGCCCATCGTTAACTCCGGCCTCGCGGCTGCATTGAAGCTGTGCACCAACAAAGGCCTGCTGGACACTCAGATGCAGAAGGTGGCCCGCGTCAAGGCAACGAAGGGGGCCCTTCCCAACGACAACTATTGCATCGAGGACAAGATGGGCTTCGACGACAAGTACAGCCGCAGAGAAGAGTACAGAGGCTTCACGCAGGAATTCAAGGAGAAGGACAGCTACAAGCCCGACGTCAAGATCGAGTACGTAGATGAGTCCGGGCGGAAGCTCACGCCAAAGGAAGCTTTCAGACAGCTGTCGCACCGATTCCACGGGAAAGGTTCTGGAAAGATGAAGACAGAGAAGAGGATGAAGAAGCTGGAGGAAGAGGCGCTGCTGAAGAAGATGAGCAGCAGCGATACTCCTCTCGGGACGGTGGCTTTGCTCCAAGAGAAGCAGAAATCTCAGAAAACCCCATACATAGTACTTAGTGGGAGCGGGAAGAGCATGAATGCAAACAACATCACTAAATAACTTCCTGGTCCGATGTGTAGCATAGAAACACACAGACATGTGCAGAGATCTTCTTAGATAATCCTTTGATTTTTTTTTCCTGTTTTTTTTTTTTTTGGTTGATTTTTTTTTGTCCTAGCTGGTGAAAAAAAAAAGTGATTATAAAAATGTTGAATAAAATCAGTGCAACTATGAGAGTTTTATTTGTGTTGTGAATATTTTCAGTTGCAAATTACAGTCAGTGTCAAGATTTTGAACTTGGATGTAGAAAAGAGAAAGATGAATCTAAAATCCTGAACATGTTTTGAAATAAAAATGATTAAAAAAAAATGGGTTTAATTTACTTTATGGAGCTTATCTGACGTGTAACTGGATAAAATATGAAGACTGTTAATACTGTTGTACTGAACAGCTCAGTTGACATAAAGTACAAAGAATTTATGAACTGTTTGGTTCTATATTAAATAATAATTGAGATGTTTTTTATTTAACTATGGAGATGTTTGACTCTGTTATGCATCGACACGATTGAAATACCTTTGAAAATGATTCTGCTCCTAAATGACTACATTTATGATTTAGCTTGGGATAGTCAACAAAAAATGAACAAAACTGTTTTCCCATTTGTTTTAATTATTACATATTTTAAAAAGAATGAAATAGAATTTTTTACCCAGTTGATTTAACAGCAAAAACCTTTAAGACAATATCAAAGATATTTTATATTTAAAATATTACATAATAAAAACAATTAATGACATCAGAGAATATCTTAGGTTGAAAATATCAGGTAAGTGGAAAACCATGCATGCTTTGCTGCATTTAATTTTTAATAAACGGTTTTATTTTAGTACTTTTTGAAAACCTCATAAAATATAATGAAAAAAAACTGCATATTTAATTAATATATTTTCTGTATTTGCAATGCCGGTTGTTTTTTAGTAACATATCACTGCAGTTTGATACGTCAGCCCTTTTCTTTTTTTATAGCCAGTCTTCAGCGGAACTAATAGAATGATTAAAGAGGTTTGGCCGGACACCGTTCCGACGCACAACGCGTTGCTAAGTATTTAGCACAGCTAACGCTTCTGCTCCTTCGTCCTGTCTTCTTGCAAGAGATGCTCGCGGACAGGTAAGAGACCCAGAGATGGTTGACCTAGTTCTGAAAATGGGATCAAAACCTGGAGCGAAGCTCCTCAGTTCGTAGAGTTAGCTTTTCGGGCGCGCGAGGCTTAAAGTCGTTTTCATCTGGTTTAGCTTGCTGTGAGCTTAAAAGCAGCCAGAGTTTAAGTAGCTTTGAAGTAAAGAGCTCTGGCGCCTGTTTCACTTGTAACTTATCCCCCGGTATCCATGCGGTGATCCTTTGGTCCTGGAATGTCGGTGCGTATTCTGTTGTCGGAACTGAGTGGGTTTCAGGTCGCCAGTCAGTCGCAGGGCAACACAGAACCAAACAGGACAAACAACCATGCACACATCCACTCACGCCTAGGGAGAATTTGGAAAGACCAATTAACCTAACAGTCATGTTTTTGGACTGTGGGAGGAAGCGTGAGTACCCAGAGAACCCACGCATGCACAAGGAGAACACAGGGAGGCAAACTCCGTACAGAAAGACCCTGGGCCAAAATCAAGTGCAACAGCAGCAAAGGAACAAAGAGATACAGCTATAGTCTTGAAATAAAATAATAAAAACACAATTACTGTACAGTAATATCAAATATACAAGGTAAGAACTACACACTAAAACAACAACAGCAGCTGAAGAGTATGCAAAATGTAAATTTGTGCATATTTGTGAAGAGGCAGTAAAATGATGCAGGCTTTTCAGAATTTAGTTTGAAGTTCAAATCTAAAAACTGTAGCATATGTTTGTATTCACTCCCCTTTTTATTTAATACTTTTCAATAAAAGCCAGTGACTAATTTCTTTGTAAACGATGGATCTTCCACTAGGCATATAGACCCAGTCTTATTTCACATTATAGATATTATGTATTGCAGGACAAATATGAGTTGTTCAGGTTTCTTCTGTAGTTTTTAAATTTGATACTGATCTCCTTCATCAGAGCTTTAGTGTTGAATCTCCCAGTAAAATAAAATATCTGAACTCTCTGTGCCATTCTGTTCAATTTTAGATGCATTCTATAACTGGCCTGGATTGTGTGTGCATCTCATTTATAAAACAAACAAACAAGTGAAGATAATGTTCTGCAGTTATTTGTACATGTTTAATTTGTATTGTCACACTCCAGGATTTAAACTCGCTGAGTGAAATCACAAGTAGTTGTGATGTCGGAGCCCAAACCCCCCACTCCTACCACCCCGACCCCTGGAGACATGTACAAGGGATGGCTCTTCAAATGGACTAATTACATAAAAGGTTATCAGAGACGATGGTTTGTTCTCAGCAATGGATTACTGTCTTACTACAGGTGAGCAGTACAGATTTAAATGTACAATAATGCATAACACCTGTAAAACGGGGGAAAAATATTCAGGTTGTTTTATCCGCTAATGTACATGGAACCTCAAAAATAGGAAGTGGTTTTATTATATGTTGGTATCAAACAACATTTTACATTCAAATATTTTGTTTATATCAATAAAGTTGCATCAAAATCTAGTATATAGATTCATTTCCAGTAAAAATCTGTCTTTTTTAAACTTATTATAAAAGCTTGGTTACAAAATGCCAAATATTTATTGTTGTCCTTAACATTTTCCATTGGAAAATAATTATGTAGCTAATAACTTTATCTTGATTAAAAATAAAAAGTTTCCGTAAGCATCTAAATTTGAACTAAATTTGAATCATTTTTAACTGCATTTGGGAGCTGCACAAAATCAATACAAGGGCCACCAGTGGCCCACATGCTGCAATTTGGACGCCCCTGTGCTAACCTGTCAAATATACTTGTATAAATACAGGTAAATTAAGATTATATTCAAACAAAACTTACGCTGTTGTTTTAAGAGGAAGAACCGCAAAACACTGTTTAAAACTGCATCACCTTTTTTTTATATTATTTTTTTTCCCCTTAATTTTGTGTACACACACACTGATATTACAGAAATGTGTGTCTGAACCTGGATGCTTTTGACTCTCCACCGTCGTGTTGTCTCCAGGTGTCAGGCGGAGATGGGTCACACCTGCAGAGGCACCATAAACCTGGCCACCGCCAACATCGCTGTGGAGGACTCTTGCAATTTTGTCATTTCCAACGGGGGAGCGCAGACGTATCACCTGAAGGCCAGCTCTGAAATCGAGCGCCAGCGATGGATCACTGCACTGGAACTCGCTAAGGCCAAAGCCGTGCGCATGCAGGACGAATCTGGTGAGACACAGGTCCAATAAAGACAGGCGTCACAATCACTGTCATTGCATTCAGAGACGATATGCTGCTTGTGTTTGTCATCAGACGACTCTGCTGATGAGTTCTCTGCAGCGCCCCCTGCCTCCACTCAGGCAGGGGGATCTCATACGTCAGAAGTCCAGTCCACGCTGCGCACCCTGGGCAGCAAGGTGGAGGACCTCACCACCTGCAACGATCTGATCGTTAAACATGGCTCTGCTCTGCAAAGGTTAGCGTCTGCTACACAGCCTTCAGGAGAAACAAAGCTGCAAATGATTTGTTAGCGTTCTTACTTTATTTATTATTTTTTTTACTGCTTTCCCAAAACATTAGGTCTTTATCAGAGCTGGAGGGGCTGCAGGCTGGAACGGACCTGGGGGAAAAGATCCGACAGGTCACAGAAAGGGCCACGCTTTTCCGAATCACCTCCAACGCCATGATCAATGTAAGGTTGAGTTTGCTTAGAGTTACTGAGGCTGCTGCAGAGGTTTTCTTCCTGACATGACACGGTTTTTTTCCTGAAGGCCTGTAGGGACTTCCTGTCCATCGCCCAGAGCCACAGTAAGCGCTGGCAGAAGGCCTTACAGACCGAGAGGGAGCAGAGGATTCGCCTGGAGGAGACGCTGGAGCAACTAGCCAAACAGCACAACCACCTGGAGAGAGCGTTCAGAGGCGCCACTGTTCTGCCACCTTCCCTCAGCAATCCCAACATAAGTATTAAAAGTAAGGCACTTGTTTTGGACTTCTGTCTTCTTAGTCTGTTAGCAAAGATCCTACACAGTCTGAGTGGCTGGAAACTAAAGGTGCAGCACAAGTTCATTTTATAGAGATTCATAATTCCTAGTCCTGGGAATTCAGAATGGATTCAAAATGCATAAAAATTTATTTTTAAATGCATTTAAGTTCTTATTTAAAAAAAAAAAGCATGGCAGCTAAGCTACCCTAATCATGGTCATTTAAGTTACAGAATTGTATGCACAAGAATATTTTTGTTACCTTATAGAGTTGTCTATTTGTTTACACTCTTTTTCTGTTCTCAGTCATAATTTAAACAGAGTGTCTAGACCATTTTGAATAGACAAATCAGTTTCTGAATTAAAAATAATTTCTGAATCGAATTGTGTCGTTGAAAATCATAATAGAATTGAATCACTAGATCGTGAAAGATTTGCATCTCTTCTGAAAATGCTTGATTTGATCATTGTCCAGGTTTGGAGAGTTACAGAAAATGTAGAAGCTTCCAGTTGGACTTCCTTATTAAATTAGCAATAAGCATAAAATCTCAATGACTTTTTACAGTGATATTAATTAAATATAGAGACTTGTCTCATCAAAACACAGATTTTTTTTCCCAAATCAATAGATTGTTTTGGTGATTGAGAGAACTCAGATAAGTGCACATTAATTTCAAAACCAAACTGCACCTGTTGTTCCTGAAGTGGGTCAGGTTGCAATGGCTTACCCCATGTGTGACCACTCCCTCCCTTCCTTCTCTGTTTGGTACCATTTCCTGTTCAGATGTGGTTACACAGGAAATGGTTCTGAAGAAAACAGAAATCTCTCAAACATATTCATTCCAGGTTGGTTTTACTCCCCGTTTCCATATAAAATAGTTCTGAGTGATTTAACAACTGATGATTTATATGACTTTATCTCATCGATTGTCATAGCGAGTAGATGGCTTCCTTTGGTCAGGTAACATTTGACCCACTGACTACAACTACTCAATCGTTTGTTAAACATTTTAGATGTTAAGATGAAAGTTCACCACATTAACTCGGTTAAAATACATTGATGTGTTTGTGTTGTCATTTATGACCCGTATGGATAATAAACCCCCATTACAGTTTTCCACTCAGTAGGCCAGAAAAATGAAAAGATTGATCTGAGAAGTTTTGTTTTTAATGTTAAATATTTTGGAAGTATATTTGGAACTGTCCACTCATTCTGTTGTGTTTTTATTATCCGTCATGTTTGAAGGCAGTGTTTCAGGAAAGGGCGATGCCAGTGATGAAGACGATGACAACGAGTTCTTTGATGCAATGGAAGACCCAACAGGATTCATTACTGTTCCTGCTGACCCGAAGTACCACAGGTTGATCCTCTTTTTCTGTCTTTCTAAACATGCGGTTCTGCGTAACTCACTCTGGTGATGTGTCATGTCTTCTCTCATCTCTGTTCTCCAGGAGATCTGGCAGCAATATCAGCGGGATAAGCAACGAGACGGGAATGGACGACCAGTCGGTAACGTTCTCGTTTTTATCTCCTCATCTGCATTGACTTGATGAGCCAAACTTAGACTAATCTTCCAGATGTTTCCCCCTTTTTTTTTGTCCTTCCTCGATCAGTATGATGAACTGTCCTTGGCGTCCAATTCTGAGTCTTCGCCGCCTCTTGAGCTGGAGCCGGTCAGACAAAGACGGACTCGTATTCCCGACAAACCCAACTATTACCTTAATTTGTGGAGCATCATGAAGAATTGTATCGGAAAGGAGCTCTCAAAGATACCGATGCCGGTAAGAAATCGATCCATCACCTGAAATCCTGGATCTTTTTTTACCTAAACGAAGTATAACAAAGCTTTTTCCTTGTTGTCTTGTGTTTCCAGGTGAACTTCAACGAACCGCTGTCTATGCTTCAGCGTCTGTCTGAAGACCTGGAGTACTACGAGCTCCTGGACAAAGCTGCAAAGTGTCAGAGCTCTTTAGAGCAGATGTGCTATGTGGCGGCTTTCACTGTCTCGTCCTACTCCACCACGGTCCACCGCACAGGGAAGCCCTTCAACCCCTTACTGGGGGAAACATTTGAGCTGGACCGGATTCGAGAGTCCGGTTACCGCTCGCTCTGTGAACAGGTCTGCAAAAAATATATATACACACCTGAGCTCTTTGCTTGGATTAAGCCAGTTATTGCTTTCAGCTATGAATGAATGATTAAATGTCTTCCTGCTGACCCGACCCCTCAGGTAAGCCACCATCCACCAGCTGCAGCCCACCACGCCTTCTCCGAGAAGGGCTGGACCCTCAGACAGGAAATCACACTGGCCAGCAAGTTCCGGGGAAAATACCTTTCCATTATGCCTCTGGGTAAGTTCCCAGCTGTTTGTGTAGTTGTGGCTGAAAGTAAAACTAACCCCTACATCAACTATTTATTTTTACAACTGATAAACTGTTGAAGTATATAATTAGGATTCTACCTTCATGTTTCTGTGTGGGTTTTGACATTCTTGTGCAATTCTTTTAGTTTGGCATTATTTTGTAAAACTGAGTGGGGAGTATCGTGTATTACCATGGTGACAAGCAAGCATTGATCGATATTGTTATTCAGCTTTTTAAAGTTGTAGTATATGACTTTTACCAAAGATTTTATGTATTTTTTTTACATTATTGTTAAAACTGTCGCTATGATATGACCATATGAGACAAAAAGATGATTGACAGAACGTTCCTCCTGGCTGTTGTTGTTTTTTATTAGTACGGTATTATTTATTTATTTTTGAGTAGAATAAACGTCTGTTCTGGTTATCTGTTACCAGGCTCCATCCAGTGTATGTTTGATAAAAGCAACAATCACTACTCCTGGAAAAAAGTTACAACGACCGTTCACAATATCATCGTTGGGAAACTGTGGATTGATCAGGTAGCAGTGCTGGTTGTATGAAAAGAATGTTTTGTGTAGAAACCCTCATTGGTTTTTGTATTTGACTCGACTTCCTCCGTCAGTCAGGAGAGATCGATGTGGTGAACCACAAGACGGGAGATCGCTGCCATCTCAAGTTTGCTCCTTACAGCTACTTCTCTAGAGATGTACCCCGGAAGGTGAGCCAGCGTTCTGGTCAAGGAGCACGCTCCTTTGCCGGAAGCGTTACTTTCTGTTCTGCTGGCTTCAGATTGGAAAACCGCATTTTAAGGTTTTTGCAGACATCTTTTCCAGAGGTTCTAGGTGGAAGATGTACTCAGACACATTTAATATTTCAGAACCTGGAACAGGATTTTGGTCATCTTTCTGTCTTGAATCCTTGCTCTACATTGAAAAAAAAATTCCTTCAAATGAAAAAGTTTTTCAGCTTTTTGAGGTTTAAAATGTTTTTCTCCATCGTTTCACTGACTCTGGTATTTGCATTATATTCAGTGAGGATGTGTGCCAAACTCTGGATTAATGTATCAAGTATTAAGATATATATACCAAACCATGGTCACAGAATCCCTATCTTATGAACCCAGCAGTAGACTGTGTGTTGTCAGCTTAATGTTGTAAATATTGACGTAAGGGTCCCTGGATAGTAAGATATCAGCCAGTATGATCTGTGTCGTTCTGTGGCATCATGGTGTAGGATCATCTGAGAAACTCAATTCTTCCCTCTTTGTTCACTATGTCCTACAGTAATAAAAAAGCATGTTCCATTACTGAGCACGATGAAATGTGGGTATTTTTCTCTCTCAGGTGACAGGAGTTGTGACGGATAAGGACGGGAAGGCTCATTATGTTCTTTCAGGAACATGGGATGAGAAGATGGAGTTTTCCAGGATCATGCAAAGCAGCAAAGGCGAGAATGGGACTGAGGGTAAACAGAGGACTGTTTACCAAACCCTCAAACCCAAAGAAATCTGGAGAAAGAACCCTTTACCGTAATTTTTTTAATATTATCTAATCCTTCTAATATTTAGAGCGTACGTGAAAATTCACAAAAATTCAGAGTGATGCTTCGTACTTCAGATCTTGTCTGATGATGTCCTTACAGGGAAGGAGCAGAGAACATGTATTACTTCTCCTCTCTTGCGTTGACCCTAAACGAACCCGAGGAGGGCGTGGCGCCGACGGACAGCCGGCGGCGTCCAGACCAGCGCCTGATGGAAGAAGGTTGCTGGGATGAAGCGAACGCAGAGAAACAACGGCTGGAAGAAAAGCAGCGCTCTACCCGGCGAGAACGGGAAAGAGACGCAGTTAAAGCGGTTCCAACGCCTGAGGAAGGTAGGAGCCGATCAGAGAAACTCGTTCATCTGCAGCTCTGGGGTCTGTCCATCCTTTTTCTTTCACATTCAGTCATCATCCCTAAAACAAGTTAATGTCTGAGGATGTCGCTGGTGTTTGAAATCGCTTCACTCTTCATTTTGGTCTTGCTGATAACCTCCTTCCCTATGTTTTAACGTCTCTTCATCCATATGTGTTCCGTTTAGCTCTTGCACATAAGGGTGGCACCACAGGAAGTGAGATTTCTGATGAAAGCAAGTATCAATTCATATATAACTTGGAACAAAGTGCCCGGTGTTGATTTAAAAAAAAAAAAAAGAAGAAGAAATTTCTGTATATTTTCAAACATGTAAAATTTACAGAAGTTTTCTATAAATTTCACAGCAGTAGACATGCAGATATTTGGAGTTTGTGTCTCAGTTTACTGTCTCAGCAGTAACTCAGTAAAACATTGATGCAGATGTGGATAAATCAGTTGTAAAAATGCTTAGAAAGCAATGGATAAAAAAAGTATTTTATTGTTTTAGAATCTCATTCCACTGAAAAGTAGGGAACAAAATCACAAAGGCCTAATTCTTTATAACCACAATTTCTATCAAATAAATGTAACTGCAGCATACTGTAAAGGGGCAGTATTACAGGTTGTAAAATCAACTTTTTTGATCTTTACATCATGTTATAATGTTATTCCCTCATCAAAAACATTCCTGTTGCTTTGATTCATTTGCATGTTAGAAAGTATTCAGTCTCCCATGGAGACTATTTAGTTGCAGTCTTCATACTTCCGCCTCACAGAGCATGCCTCCTCCGTGACTCCCCCAATCAGGTCCTTCAGACTAGCCAGCAACATTTAGCAAACTCCTGAGCTCACTATAGGAGCTACTTCTCAGTGAAACACTGGTAAAAATTATGTTAAAGGGTTAATAGAGGAGCCATGTTGTTATGACTTTCTGAAGGCGGAGTTTCAGAAGGAGCAGGAGTTTTTAAAGAGACCTAATTGGCACCATGTGCCTGAAAAAAATATAATTCTCCCCCTTTAAACTGAGTAACATTTTAATAGTAATCCCTGTCTTTGCTTTTCTGGGATATCAAACTTATGTCAGTATTAAATTAATTTATACTTCACAGTAAAGCTAAAACTTTCTAATTAAAATATTTTGATTTAATAAAGTTATTTTGAAAGCTACAACTCTCATATTTAGAGAATAAAATAATGAAACAGAGCAGAAGCCAGGAATCTACCAAAGTCTCCAATGCTCATGGTGGAGGATTGAAATCGCTCCACTCTTCTGAATTTTTCAACAGATTTGTCCGTGTCTGTTTGAGGCAACTGGAGTGCTTGTTGCCAAAAAGCTCAACTGTTGTTGCAGCAAAAGTTTGAGATTAAGCAATAAACAAACAAACTCTTTAATTTTATAAAAAGTTTGTCTCCTATGATTATCTGCTGTTACTTTCAGACAAACATGGCCGCTAAAATCAAAACTTGATTATTTAATTATATTGAACATGGATCTGTGCGTTTTCTAAAACGCTTTTAGATGACGTTTGTTGTGAACTGGTTGTATATAAATCAACCAGACTGAACAGAATCATTATTGCAACTCATGGCACTTTGTTCTTTTTTAAACTACACACCAACATTGTGTGGATTGTTTTATGAACTTGTATTTTCTGTTTGTGATGGGGTTTGCTCAGCTGATGCAGAGGACTCTCCCCCCCCCACGCCTGTTGCATGCAAGTATCCCCCTATGTTTTCACCCTCTGTTTATTTAACGAAAATATAAATATCTTGAATAAGCTCTAGGAAAATCATCCATTTATTTTTTTTTCTTTAGCCCCTTACGGACAATCTGTCTCTCTATACCCAAGCAAGTATTCAGATGAAAACATGTCGTAAAAACTAGACATGCTTGGAGCCCAATTTTGAGGGGCTTTGATCCAATCCCAGTTTCTGATTTTTTATAAATATCTGCTGACACTGGTAGTTTCTGGTCCAGAACACCTTAGGCTTAATATTTAATTTTTATTTTGGACACTTTGGGGGTGCTGTAGACTCCAGAAGTCAATGAAGGCTTCAGCTTTTTACTCTGAGAGTTTATTTGACTGTACAGTGGGCTGAAAAGCCTCTTGATCTACAGCAAAACTACAACCAACAGTCATCAATTATTCATGAGCAGAGACAGTGCTGCACTGTGTGGATACATGGGGGCAAACTCCTGTTTTATTAAGCCATTTACTGTGAAAATAAAGTAATACAAGTCAAGAACCTATGATAGCGATATTTTATGGTTAACTTTGTACTGCCCTAAACTTGTTGCTTAAAAAAACTTCATCACATGTTTTGTAAGTGCTTAATGGAATTACAAACACATTTATGTTACCTTTTGCAGTTTCTTTTTTTAAATCTGTCAGTTTCTGGAATTTTGGATAATATTTTTTTCTAATTTGGCATGTTTCCATTTAACATGTTTAACATTTTTGTATTTCTAATTTGTGCAATTTTAAGGTCAATAGAAATGCAGCTTACGTTGCCATTAGCAACTTTTAAGATGAAAAAAATTGGTATTGGCCAAAATTGGATTTAACACACCAGGCTTTTTAATGATCGGTGATCAGCCATAAAACTGCTACTGATGCACTGCAAATTATCGCCAGCATGTGGTGCCATCGCTGATTTTTACAAACCTCAAATTTGAAGAAAAAATATCAGCATGGTTGAAGCAGTGTAAGGCTAAGAACAACTATGTATACTCTGTATTTCTCTGTCAATAATTTCAGCTTAGATTTGAGGTTTAATGAAAGCAGAATCAACACAAAGACAGATGTTTGGTGGGGGTGAAATGAAAACAGCAGGGAAAGCCAGAGTTGGCATGTGCAAATCTCTAATAAACTAATGATAATTTCCTCATATCTATGGAGTCTGTACGCTGATGTTGTTTTTTAAGTCTTGATTATAGCAGCCATTTAAATATTTTTTTTTCTCAATGAAAGCTAAGTTAGAGTTTGGGCAGTGGGCACAAACAGAATATGTCTTAATGGCAGGACTTTAATGTTTGTATGAAACGCATAAAAGAACAACAATCTTGTATTTGTTCTTGTCACAAAAAGGAAAGTGTTTCTCCACCTCTGTATAAGTTTACTACCAATCTAGAATAAAATGCCTCTGCTTAAATATAATATGACAGAGTTTTCACTATGACAGAGTAAAATCACCTTCAACAATACAGAACCACAATTTCTGAATCAGTGACCTCCAGGAAGGGTATCAGCTCGGATACAGAAATGGGATCCGATCAGCCCTATTGTTGTAGTGAACGAACCAACACCTGTAGGGTTGTAGTTAATTCTAGATTAGAAAATCCTGCACAATATTAAGCAGTCACTTCATTTCCTCTTTCCGACTCGCTCTCCCTCTCTCAGCGGAAGGCAAAGAACATCCTTTTAGAGCCCTGGCCAAAAGCAATTAACACGTGCCCTGTCATCTGTTGTAACCTGTCATAGAGCCAGATGTAGATCAGCTGCGATCGGCTGTAGAATTTTGCTCCATAGGTTGAGATGTACAAGCTCGGTGTGACAGTCGTCTGTCTGCTGGCGTCTGATGGAACCTTGGCTGCTTCCACTGACTCCTCATTCATTTTCCTTCTGCTTTGTTTTAAATGAAGTTCATCCAAAACAGAGCATTATTATGACCATCTGAACTGAATTGAAGGTGCAGTATGTAACGTTTATTTAAAAAAAAACATGTTTTTTTCATATTTATTAAAACTGTTTCCATGTGGCGACAGAATAATATGAGACAGATAATCCGTGAAAAGATCAATCTGCTCCACCTCCACACTGAACTGCTACTGCTGTCTGAAGAAATGCACTGCTACCTACCAAAAATGACCAGAGACAGCAGGAGGGTCTTGGCGCTGTCAATCAAACTCATGTACACGCTGCTAACTGTGGTAATGGTGGAGAAACGACTTACCGTTACAGAAAAATGTTTATCATTGGTGGCTACACTAAGTAGCCTGAGCATTCATGACAGGTGGTGCTAGCTGCAGCGAATGAGCGCCACACAGAGAAGTGGTTGACAGCGCTAAAACCCTCCTTCTGAATCTGATTGGTTGTTTCTGGAGAGCACTTTGAGAATGCAGAGCAGCTTCAATTTTTTCTTTCAGATTAACTGTCACTATACTGCCACGACACAGTGACAGTTTCAACAAATTTGTTAAAAAATTATATAAACTATATATATATTTTTTTTAAATAAAAGATACTTACTGCTGCTTTAAAGCTTCACATGTTGCTTCTCCACTTGCAGTTTAAACATTCTGTGTGAAAACTGTGATTTTATTTTGTCTGGCATTCTCCGCAGGCGCCCATCCGGACAATTACCAAGCGCTGTGGTTCGAGAAGATCCACGACTCCGTGTCTGGAGAGACGCTGCATGTCTACAAGGGAGGCTACTGGGACGCCAAGGAGCAGGGAAGTTGGGAAATGTGTCCCGACATCTTCTGATTACAGATGCCTGTAGCCTCACCATCAGTCTGTTGGATGTGGCTCTCAAAGCACACTTGGTGCTTGTGGGTATTGTAGTCATTGCGCTGCTGGTTGTGTTGCATTTCATTGGCCTCATGAGTCAGCTCTAAAACCGGGGAATGGTGTCATCTCTTAGCTCCACTGTGTTCCAGGGGAAAGAGAGAAAAGCTTAAGTTATGTTCTGACCATTCGATGCTAAACGTAACTATTATTGCTGATTCAAGGAGAAAACAGAATTCTATATTTTGTGCATTCAGTCACTGGAACAGAACATGCACTAATTCCTGGACAAATTGACAGAAGAACAAGCTAAAGTTGATCACCTCACTGCAAAAACACATTTCACCAAATCTTTCTGATCCGGTTTCTCGTGTAAAAATCTCAGTGCACTTTAAATGAGACAAAATGTACATATAAGTAACTTTTCAAAAAGACATAGGGCCTTGATTTAAGTTAATAATTCCCTCACTTATAACATGGGAAAAATGTCTTGTTCAAAAGGAAATAATCTGCTAGTGAAACTAGTACTTTTTCATCAATATTAAGGAACTAGAGTTAACAAAGCTCATATTTTCTTGCTGAAAAGCTACTTGTAAGTTACTTTTTTCCTTATTTCGCGTTTGCTAAGATATTTGCACTAGAAACGAGACCAAAAATACTGGTTAAAATGTGTTTTTGAACAGTCACAGTGCTCAACTGTAAGCATTCCTCATGCACGAAGCAGCCTGGACTTTGAGGTTCTGGATGGTGTAAAAAAGCAACTCCTTCATTCCTAGACTTCAGAAAATCTGACTCATGTGTTCAGTGAAATGCATCATCAGCTTTCAGAGCTCCTCTTCTCTCCATTGCCACTCCTCTCCCAGTTTGAAATCTTCCAATCCAATTATGATTTGATCATCCTCTATACAGTGCCTTATAAAAGTATTTACCCACCTTCCATTAAACTTTTCACATTTTGTCACATCATAACTGCAGTAAGTTATGTCAAAGTTTCCTCCTATGTCAGCCCAATGTATTGTGTAATTGTGAAGTGGAAGAGGAAGGCTTAATCAAAATAAAACATAAAAATGTGTGGTGCATTTCCACTAAATTTTCCATAATAAATTTCTTATTGCTACAACTTCATGTCTTTTCTGGACTAAATCTACAAGTTTTGTACATCTACTTTTCATAATTCTGTTCTCCCACTGGATATGTGCTTCATTTACATTCAGGTCAACTCTATTGACTAATCAGACAACTTCTGAAGGCACTTGGTGGCACTGGGTTTTATTTGAGGGCATTAAATTAATAGGGACTAAATACAAATCCACCCCATCATTTTTAACACCTTGTATCGTTTTCCTTCAACGTCACAATTATACCCTACTTTGAATTTAATAATAACAAAAGTAAAATACTTTGGAATTTATGGTTGTAACACGTTGATACTTTTCCAAAGCGCTGTATGTATTTGTTTTGTTTGTGAAAGCTATTCCATTAAAGGCAGTTCATTGTTGTTGTTTTTTTTTTTTTGATTTGAATTATTTTGCAGTGAATCCATGTTCACTTTGAGCAAAGTTGAATTATCTCAAAGCTGGAAAATATGTAGACCATTGTGCTGTGTGTTTCTACCAAAGGTCTACTTTTTCTACTCTGTAAAAATCTTTTAATTGTATTTATTTAGTGCTTTCTTTCCAGACTCTTGCCCTCCATAAAGTATAATATAGAAACACATGGTGATGGGTGGAGTAGCTGTTTCTGGATGTCCAGATGTTTCATTTTTAAGTGGTGGTGTATTTAATTAATTTATTTTTTTTCCAGTCTCAGAATACATTTCCTGATATTGTGCAGAGTGTTACTTTGTTCCGTTTTACCCTGTGTGAATACGAAGTTGCTAACAGGAATTCTAAAGAAATCACTTTTAGGTCAATGAGAATCCATTTGTGTCTCTTCCTTCAATAATTCATTTTAAACTGCAGGTTTTATCTCTAGATTTAATGACCTGGTTTCATACAATCCTTTGGTATAAAAGGTGAAGATGAAGGATTTGATCTTCACCTTTAAGGAGTTTTAGTAGTGAACTAAAAACAAAAACATGGTTCAAGGTGTATGTTTTTGTTGTGAGGTGTGGGGGTGGTCCATTATTACCATATTACTTCTTAATCACAGTTTTAACCTTATGAATTGAGTGATTTGTGTGCTGCAGGTGTCACATTCTTCCAGAGCAATATGATGACCGGGTGTTGGTTCTTAAAGAGTTTCTTCTGTTTCTTTGTTGTATAATTCAAACTGGGTTACGATGTGACTGATTAAAATGAAAGTGAAATGTTCATATTTCTTATTAAAGTGTACTTACAAATGAAGACGCGTTGAAAAACCGATGCTGTGTACATAAATCAGATGGTGAAGGAAGTGACTGCAGTTAGATAGTCCTAAACAGAGAAGCACTTTAAAGTTGTTTTTTGTTTTACAGTTTGAAGTTTTTTCATTGGCATGGCCAGTTTTTTATTTGGAACATTTATTAATTTGGCCCACAGAAATGTATGTTTTTACCCACAACATTTAAACTTGCAACTGCATCTATTCAGATGATTCAGTTTACAGATTCTTTACTTCTTTTTCTAAATATAAATTCCTCTGTGATTTTGTTGCTCCATTGTCTGTCTTTGTTTTATTAAATCTTTTTTTTTATCTTATTTTCTCCATTTCTGCATATTATTATTGTTATTGTAGTTACTCCACTGCACTTTGTAGGCTGTCATTGTTCACAGAAGAGATTTAAAGTTGTGCTTGCACTTTATGTAACTGAGTGTTCCAGGATGTAATATGACTAATAAATGGTTGGTTTCATTTGGATGCTGGGTCCTTAAAAGATTTGTCATTTGGAAAGTTACATTTTAAAGGTTCCTAAGTTTTGTTCACTTTGGTTATTGAAAGCGAGGATTATGAAATGGATTACAATTATAGATCATAAAAGATCATGAAAAAAATTTGCCACGAGGAATAAAGCAGCTCTAGGTGGAGAAAAGAAAGCTGGTGTTCTGGCTCTAGATTCTCACAGTATATTAAAGTTGTTTAAAAATCCTCGCATGTCATCCCCTAAATTCCCACATGGTCTGGCTAAAGGGTTGAAAAGTTGAGATTAAATGAACAATAGCCTGAGTTATCTGGAATCTGAAAGTGACGTCACAGTTTTCCGCCAGCTGAACAACAGTGCACAGGACCAGTCAAGGAATGGACAGCACTGTTTCCCCAGAGAAAACCCTGGCATTGGTACAGAATGTAATAAACAAATGTTACAACAATGGGCAAAGAATTGAATACCTTACCACTCATTAGAATAAATGTTACGCACTGTTTGACATATGCAGAAGTGAAAACAGCCATTTTCAACATCTACAGTTTAAAGTTAACTGCTGTAATCACGTCTTGGACAGATTAGTATGACTACTACTGTATCAAAAGTTTACTTCATTAAAGTAGAGGACTAATTTTCTCAAAGTCGTACAGAAGAGGAAGAGATCACAAGTTAAAACTTAGATAACTTAGATAAGCGTTAAGTAACTGGAAAAGTAGGTATTTTCCTTGAGTAGTTTTCCAGAGGCCATTGTTTACTATGTTGTTGACTGTCTCTTGTTTTCATCACAAGTGAAGCATACAAAGATTAAATCTTCACGTTCAGACAAGTGACCATTTATTATGGCAACTTCGAAAAACATATCATTGAAACCACATAACCCGCCTGACTGCAGTTCAGGAGGTGTTCGCTTCCAGCCTGGTTTTCCCGTGATGACTTAACACCGACTAACACGGGATGTCCGCACGGGAAAAACAAGCGCATCTTAGCATGACGTTGCATCTTTGTTTACTGGGCGGGTAAGAGCAGCTAAATGCTTCTCGACTCGCTCTTGTCCACGTCTACGTCTGTGTGCCTTTTTATTTCGCAGCTGGTTCCTCTGGTAAAAGCTCAGGGCGTGTAGTTTCTCCGTCCGGGTTTGCGCTTTTATTAAATCCTGTTTAGAACTATGTCCACAGAAAGACCAGGCCCTGCGGGGGACGTCACAGACGCGAGGAAAGACGATGGAAAACAGTAAGTCAAGCGTTTATTGAGTCTGTTAACGACCTTTATCCTCAGGAGGTCATTGTTTCTTTGTCATGTTCAAGTCAGTAGAACAGGCCGAGTCCTCCAGTTTTGTCGGTTTGACTCTCTGACCTGCATCACTTAATGTTGTTTTTAATCAATAAGATGATGAAATGTGGTTTGGTTCGTGCTCCTGCAGGGCAGCGGGATCTTTGTCTGCTCCTTCGCCCATGGACGTTGACGCTCAGCCCCACTCCCACAGCTTCAGATACAGCCTCCGTTACCCCAACATTGGCCAGTGCATCATCATCAACAACAAGAACTTTGACAGGGGCACAGGTGATACTTTATCCTGTTTCCCTTTAGCCTGTGACTAGTTATTTTGTTTTGAAACTAGCTGCAGGATACTGGCTGGAAATGTTATCCATCTACTGATAGAAACAACATCTTATTTTGGTCACATTTTAAATAAGGAAGTTGACATTTATGGTTGTACCATCTTGCTTGTTGACATTGGTGCATATTAATTCAACAGTGATATGATTATTTTGAAACAGTTCAATACATAACAGAATGCTTGTCAAGTCTTTATTAAATCCTGATAGGATCACCTGACATCAATGTCCAAAAGTATTTTGTAGTTTTTAATCTCATTCTACTGATTTCTTTCACTCTTTATGGTTTTTGATGATGTAGAATATTGGGCATTCTTTCCTCTGATTATGTTAAAGTTGTGGAATCACTTGAGTTGTAACTGGAGCTTGTTTAGTTTGCTCTAAGTACTTTCAGAGTGAAACTGCTGGCAGAAAGTGATAAGCAAAATGATTGATGTGTTTGAGAGGGTGTTGGTCTGCTGGCTTATTTTTGCAGAACCTCATTGTTTCACAAGTTACACTTGTTATTGCTCAAATAAGCACACTAGTGATCCATGAATTAGCTCAATATCCCTATGACTTCATTAACAGTTTGATTCAAAATAGAAATTATTCAGAAATAGAAAATCATCAGATAGCAGCTGACCAATCAGAAATGTATTTAAAGTGAGATTTGCTTCGGTCCCAAGGCAACTGAAGATGTTTATTAAATGTGTCTGAGCTCTGGTTTCTCTGTGGCATCAGTGCTAGTTAGAATTTCACTGCATTATTTAAGTGTATAACAAAGCTTCAGTGTTTATTTTTCATGTCCAGGGTTCCTACGGTGTGGGAAGGTCTGGATTTTAAATCTATTATTTTCCTGGTCTGGATAGGTAAAGTAGTAGAGAACAGAAAATATCTAGATTCCACCCTGTATTCCCATTTCCAATGCCATCTCCTTTCTTTTGTCCTCATAGATTTGTGTTCTCTTTTACTAGTTTGTTAGGAACATTCTGCAAGCGAAAAAAAAACTGTCAGACTGAATCTGAAGCTCAAAATTGAAGACATGATGATCAGTGTTTGTTGGCGTTCATGCCCCACAGGTTAGAGGAGAAGCAGACGGTCTGGAGTGAGCAAGATGATGTAATGTAGCATTACCTCACTGTTCAGAGAAGGATGATTTGGTGCAGATGTTCACAGACAGGCTGGTGAAGGGAACAGAGGCAGTAGGGAAGTGATGGGCAGGTTTGGGATCCAGGATAGGAGAGGGACGTTTGTTGGTCGACTTTGTGAAAAGGATGGAGATGGTCGGAGTACAAACCATCTTCCAGAAGAGGAAGGAAGGTGACATACAAGTGTGGAGGGAGGAGCACAAAGGCGGACTGCATCTTCTATAGATTTTGAAATGCGGAGATTAGTGAGTGTAAAGGCAGTGGTAGATGATAGTGCAGATAGACAACATAGGATGGAGCTGATGGTAAAGAAGATAAAGAGAACAAAACAGAGGACCAGATAGTGAAAGCAAATCAAATTGTGGATTTTTTGGGGAGTTGAGACTCCTAGATGAGTGTACAGCTACACCTAATGTGATTAGGGAGACGGGTAAGATGGTATCTGGTATGTCAGCAGAAAAGCAGACTATATGTTGGAACAAAAAAATCAACCATGTACAGAAAAGGAAGTTCACTAAGAATATGTGGGACAATGAGAGGACAGGAGAAAAGACAGGTGTAAAAGGAGATGGAGTGTATGATGAAGGTAAATGGGGCAAAGTACAAACAAAAGGCTTATGATAACTTGTACAATGTTGTTTAGGAGAGCCAGTGGTCTACTATATCTGTAAACACCAAAGAGCTTTTGGTTTTTACCTGTTGAATTCAGATAATGGACACGGTTCAGCATGTCTGCTAAACCATGTTGGCTTGTGAAAAGAAAAAGTGAAAAACGTTGATTAAAATGGAATAAGCTCATGTTGTAAAACTACACTTTCAGTCAATAGCCTCTCAAACAAACAAACCAAAGGCTCAGTGGCCTATTGGCACCAAGGAGTTTAAAGGATGGAATCCTGCAAAACCCAACAAAAACAATGAAATAGATTATCAAAAACAATTACAAATGTTTTATACTAAACTAACTTCCTTCTACCCAGACACAAAGCCTTACTTTAGACATTATTAAGAACAAAATGTATCTCTGGTAGTGAGTGAGTCGTGCGACGGAGAACAAAATATGATGGGATGATCAGAGAGATTTTGCATTTGAGGAAAATGATGGCGTTTGCCACTCTGCTAGCGGCGGACAGCATGTACAGGGCCGCAGTTCCCCTTTTCTCAGCTATGGTGGCCGCAGTCCAACCCGGGGCAGTGAAAAACGCGAGTAATAGTTGCAGTGGCTGTTCAGTTGGTGGTTGGGAAAGGTTGGCTTGGTTTGGGCGACCATTGGCTTGGCCTTGTACCCGTACAGCAGGCTTGTGGATTTGCGGCACCTTCTTCCAGGTAAATGGAAGAAGGTGTTGGTTCAGCAACAGAATCAGAGTCTCTTTTTGGGGAATTTATAATTCAGGGATTCTTTCTGCAGAATTTTAAGTAAGCCAGAGTAGTGGCTTATTCTTCAGTCAGAATATAATCGAACTGGAGTACTCCTTTCGGCCAGCAGAGGAACTGCAATGTTTCACCATTATAATCTCTTTGCAGTAAAGAGGGTGCCTTCCTTCAAGGACAGAGTTTTTATTAAAACATGATGCCCCGTATTCACACAGTGAAACTCCTCTTCCTCCTAGAAAAACTGAAACTGGGTTAATGCAGTGCATTCTGGGATTAATAGTTTTTATTCCCTGTATGTAGTTCAGGTGGTGATGGCTGGAAACCAACAGGAGTGATGAGGATGGATAGGATCCGTAATGAGAACATCAGAGGGACTGCCCATATTAGATGCTTTAGAGATGAAGTCAGAGACCAGACTGAGAAGGTTTGGACAAGAAACAACAAGATTTTTCATGCCTGCCTGTTGTAGAAATGTCCATTGTGAACTTTAGTAGTGTCTGTGTTGAAACCATTTACCTGCATCCCCTGATACTTAATTAGGTATTCAGATGTAGGTTCCTATGGTGACAGTTGTTGGAGAAATAACAATAAACACTTTCATTCTGTGGATTTCTGTGAATACCTTCCACAGTTTTCCTCCTTAGTTATTCATCAGAGAGCTGCTGCACACGCGCATGACTTTCTGAGTGGGGGTCGGACTTCTTGAATTGTAGCATGGCGTTACGGTAGGTGTGTCTAAACTTAAAGCTGAACTGGGTGTGTGTGAGAAAAGTCACTGAGACTGAAATGCACGTTATAAATCTGGAAGTCTTCCCTCAGGGCATTGGTTCTCAAACCTTTCATGATGTGCTTCACACCTAATTTAAAGGAAGCATGACAAATTCATAAGGACAAACTATTTTGCTCACTGGGGCGAGGTACAATATGCCTTGTTTGAATTTATTCAGCTTCAAGCTGACAGTTTTCAGAAATAAAACAGAAGAGACAGATCACTGATTCTGCACCACTTGTCCCATAGTTTTGTAATCGGTGCACCAGGTATGCATGACTTCCGCACTACTTTAACCCAGGGATACATCCTTGGGTAGAGCAGAGTAGTGGAGTAGAATGAAATTGAAGGTTGTGGGTTCAATTCTTTGATTCAGTACCCAAAGTTGCTCACTAATTTGCATATATGTGTATGGGTGTGTGCGCTTCAGTGAGCGCCTTTGTTGACTGGGAAGTCATTTGGTTATCATCGCTACTGAATGTAGCCACAGTCGGACAGATGGACACGTATGCTTGTGGTTCTCACTGAGCAGACTCTGTTTTGAAAACCTGTCTAGCAGCACTGAAAGAGCACACTTGGTTCAATAAACACTTTTAATAGGGAACTGTTTGATTAGTGTGAACCCTAGCAGCAGATCCTGGTTTATTATGTTGTTTTATTGCACGTCTGCTTAATGTGTTATTTTAGGCGGAATTGTATATTCATTAGGCGTCGGTATATCATTTGATTTTACTGACTTACAGTATCTGTGACTATTTAAAATTTCCAACACGTCACAATTTTTCAATTTTTTGTGAAAAGTTAAAAATTTGTAACTCAAAAAAAAAATGACTCCCTTTATGATCATACTTTAAATTAGGAATATGACAGTGAGGTGAAAGGAGTTAAACGTGTTTTTTAAGGACAAATAATTTATGTTCTCTTGATTATAGTAAACATGAGTCTTTTACTTCTTCTTTGCTAATAATATCAGCATATCATATTATATATTGTTGGTTCTGATTTTTGAAGTATTTTATTCCGGCACACAAACTGACTCAAAGCATAATGCCGCCACCACCACCACAATAAATCCTTCTTAAATCTGCACTAAGTTTACCAGAACTCTCAATTGTTCATCAATCAGAACTTGTAGAAATCAAGTTAAAGTTGCCACCTTAAAAAAAAAAAAAAATCTATATTATTTTTCCAGTCTGTTTTGCATCTCTTTTACTTTTTAGGTATGAATCAGCGAAACGGCACTGATGTTGATGCAGCCAATGTGTGTAAAGTGTTTACGAAGTTGGGCTATGCAGTGAAGATTTACAATGATCAAACAACCGATCAGATGAGGAACATTTTAAGTGCAAGTAAGTACAAAATAAAACTTAAGATATTTGTCCTTTAACAGATTTCTTCTGCTTTTGCTTTTTTGTCACTTAAATGACAAACAAATTTTAATTTCAGACTAAGATAACCTTGGTGAAAATTAAAAGAGAAGTTTTTCAAGTGATGATTTCATTTGTTGAATTTATGAAGTTGCCCAAAGCAATGTGAGCTCATGTAAAAGTAGGGCAGCTGACGATCAGCAGATGACGGTGACAGATCCCATTTTTATATTGTTTTTTTTAATTTATTTATTTTGGTTCAGTTTCTCTGGCCAGACCTGATTGCTGCTTGAACTGCCAGGTTAATAGAGACATTAGTGCAGCAGAAGCTTCACTCTAAGGTGAAGTAGACTGAACATTCTCAGAAACCATTAGGTCCCAATCAGGACAAACAGAAACACTGACATTTTTCAGCCTGGAGACTTTGACAAGGTTTTCTTACTTATTCTGGTTTATTTTTGTCTGATATTAAGAATTGTACGATCTGAAAGATGCTATATGCTGTAAAACAAAACTGCTAAACATCTGTAAGGAGAGCAAAATTGTTGTTGACAGCATAACCGGTTCTGTTAATGGACGGCAGTGGCGACTCTTTTCACTGACTTCTTTGTTTTTGTAGCATCTATGCACGATCACAGCAACTCCGCCTCGTTCGTCTGCGTTCTGCTGAGCCACGGCGATGACGGCGTGATCTATGGTACTGATGGCCCGGTGCAGATCCAGAGCCTTACTTCATTATACCGAGGCGATCGCTGTAAAAGTCTGGTGGGAAAACCCAAACTTTTCTTTATCCAGGTAAACAAGGCCACTTCTTAGATTTTTTAAAGGTGTTCTTTATTCTTGTTTGTCACATTATTTATTGGACATTGTGTCTTGTCCATTCTGATTAGGCTTGCAGAGGCACTGATCTTGATCCGGGTATTGAAGCCGACAGTGCAGACGAAACCACTAAGATCCCTGTGGAAGCAGACTTCCTCTACGCCTTCTCCACCGCTCCAGGTTAATTGCACATACATGTTTAAACTATTCATCCGTCCATCCATCCATTTGCTAAAACCCTTGTCCCTAATGGAGGGGGTGTTTGAACTAGTCATTTTTCTTTTGTTTTGTTTTTTGGCTTAAAAAATACTAATTCAGGTTAATTTGTGGTTGTCGCAGGCTACTACTCCTGGAGGAACACAATGACTGGCTCTTGGTTCATCCAGTCACTGTGTGACATGATCAGCAAATACGGAAAGGAACTGGAGCTTCTGCACATCATGACACGAGTAAACCACAAGGTGGCAGTAGAGTTTGAGTCTGTGTCCAATTCACCAGGGTTTAACGCCAGGAAGCAGATTCCATGCATTGTGTCGATGCTGACCAAAGAGATGTATTTCTGCCCTTGATGTTGAATTCTCAGCAGAAACCTGAGGTTGGCAGACATGATTACAGATCAGGTTGTGCTTTTCCACTTGATTTCAGGTGAAATTTACATTTCTTAGCAGAAAATGTGATGCTTCAGGATACTTTTAATTTAATAGGCTTGGCATCCTAGGTTTCTCACTTTGTACTGTGTTTGTCTGACATGAATAGTGTTTGGTATTTTATATTATATGTGCCTGTTTTTTTATTATTATTATTTTGTTTTTCAGAATTTATGTAATTTTTTTTATTTTATTTTTTTTTTATATCAAATGTTTTCAGGCTAAACCCAAACGACAGGCATCTAGTTTCACTCTACCTTTAAACAAACCAATTTCATATTTAGTTATTGAGTTTCGGTAAATTTCTTTCGGCATTTAAGCGTTCTGAAAAGTCATGGAGATGAGCATAAAACCACTTCCTTTATAAATAGTTGTCTCAATCTACTACATTGCATCCTATTTGTGGTTCTGATCTCAGATCAGGCCTGTCTGCTCTTATAAGAGAGGACGGATTTTGGTTCTTGATAAGGGAATCACAATGTTGGAAAATAGGACGAATGTTTTTTTATGACACTGTATGCTTATGTGGGCATCAAGACCAGCGAAACTCCAACCGACCAGTTCTCAGTGATCTGTGCAACTTTACTGTTTACACTCTACACACTTCAGGGAAATACCTTTTTCAGACAGTTTGACTGTTTTTGTACTTTTCTAATCATGAAACTGTCGAAATATATCTGTGCACAATCACATTATGAAAAGGCGGCAAGTCTTTTTGAAGCTGTATTCTCTTTCACCAGACATTAAATTGCACAACCATACTGCGAACAATAATGTAAAAGCGTCGCCAGGCTTTTGGTGGATAATATGTAACATGGCCAAGAGCGGCATGAGATCTGTAACAAAGCTCGCAATGGGGTTGTCTTTTATTTTCAGAGTTTTGATTCGTTCTGATCTCATTCTTTATTTTTGGGTAAATTCAAACTGCTGACTTGGGAAAGTTTTTCATTACCAAACCTTTTTTTTTTTTTTTTTTGCGGTGATTATTAAATGTGCTGTTTTGAGCTCACAAAGCTATACTGAAAGTTAGTCTTTGTTTCAGATAAAATAACTTTAGAACCTGAATTTCTGATTGGTTTTTCTTCTTATAGCGAAATTTACATTGATGAAATTGACTGAGTCTTTGCTCTGGTTCAAATTTTTCTTTAATTGGTTATAGAAGCCACGGAAGCCATTCACCAAATGTTGTGTTAATAGTTTTCTTGCCTTAAAACCTTATGTACCAGTTTATTTAAATAATCTGACCAAAACAAATCCAGTTAGTCCTCAAGAAGGGAAAATGTCAGACTGTTGCACCTTTATTGTTTTTCTAGGTTCTCGTAAATGTAACAGTTTGCATGCTAAGCGCACTCTGGTTTCAGTAAGTTTGTGAGAATCCACTGACAGTAATAACTTGTTTTAGTTTTTATAGTGTTGAAAGGTGGACATTTTTTCATGTGTAATATACAATATTACTGTTTATCAGCAGCTGCATCATGAGCTTGACGGAATGTTTTTGTTCTTCCAAATAAACTCTTTCACTCATATGTTGCTTGTTTGGCTGAAGGGTCAGAAGGTCGGGGTTTACCAGCACATAGAGGCAGCCTGAGAAAACATCTTCAGCTCCGGAGCAGATTCCTGGAGGAGCTGAGCTCTGTAACAGCCACGCATCTACAATGGCAAATATGTTGGCGGATATAAGCAACCACATCCCGAGTTCCAGAGCAAAACACATGGCTGATGTTCTTCCATCACTGCGAGAGATAATGCACTTCGTATAAAATCAGGACAACTTGTACAGGAACAAAAAAGGGACAAAGTAAGTTCACCTAGTGACTTCACAGGTTGTAGGATGACCTTTTGTAACAAATTCTCTAAGGTCATTGCTGATGGTTTCACATGTTGGTGTTGTGTCAATATAATTATGATTACTGTTTGCACTAACACCTTAAAATAATTTATAGATGTAATTTAGTTCAGAACTGAAAAGTATACATATTACATAATTGACAAATTATTCAAATGTTAATTTGGTAATGATGACATCAGTAGTTTTAACAAGAAAATGCATCATGACCAAAAATATGTACACAACACTAATTACTAAATCTCAAATTGCAGTGGTGACCACACAGTTTTGATATATGAACAGCACAGAGTTCCTCCCACTCCTTTTTGAGCTAAATGACTTGGTGTTTTTTTAAATATTAATACAATATTATAAAAAACATTAATTTGGACTACTCAGGGTCTTGTCCTTACTGTACAGATGTTACTGTATATCTTTGGGTACAATTGGATGTACATATATGTTCTTCGTTCTTTTTTTTAACCTACTAAAGAATATTTATTTTCTTTGGCTCAAAATAGAGCATCAAACCAAACACCCGCCTGTATGATCCAGAGTTGCTAAAACAGCAGGTTTTATATCGGTTGCTGCTTATTATGATCAGGCAATCGTTTAAAATGTCAGCGTAGTAGTTTACGAGGAGTTTTTGAACGCAGCACTAAGTCCTCGCCTCTTGTGGCTGAAAATAGTTCGTAATGCTCTTTGACAGTTACAGTCTGGGAGCAGCGTGTCTGACGGCCGCTTACATGGAGCACCTGACCTGACTTAGAGGCAGCTTTCTTCTACAAGTTACCTTTAAAAGTGAAAAACGAGGCCGCGTGACAGGTTTGAGAACTTAATAACGAGGTTCCCGCTCAGAAATGTCAGTTTTCTGTCGGGAAGCGAAGCAGGGATGGAGAAGTTTTCCCACATAACTCCGCTCTCTCTGGCTCTCGTGCTGTCTCGGGTCTGCGGGGAAGATGAGAAGGGCTCACCATCATCATCATCACCACCGCCGCCAGATGCAGCGGAGGAGTGGAAACACTTCGAGCATCACACCGGCTACGAGATCTTCGCCAGCTTTAAAGCCGTCAACATGCAGCACTTCTGGAACAAGGCGCTGACCGAGGCTCTGTCGGAGGTCTTCTTCCTGGGCTGGATAGACGAGAGCGTGCTGCTCCTCCAGAGCCACGAGGCGCATCTTCAGCAGCTCAGGAACGCCTGGACCCGGAGGACCCTGCAGCCACCGCAAGGCTTTCATATCAGATGCATAGGTGGGTAACAAGCTTCAGAGTCCGTCAGTGACTATCAGTTATCGGGACGCCTTGTAAACGGATGTAACTCCTTGAAATCTTTAACGTTTTGTCATCTTTTAGAGATGCACCGATACACTTTTTCCACGACCGATACCGATACAGACATCTGAGGTTTAGTATCGGCCGATACCTATTCAGTGCAGAAAGACAGTACAGAGTTGATTTAAAATGTTTACTTTTATAAAGACATACATAAATGTACTGAGTAACTTTTTTTTATAACTATTTTTTTTTGTGATAACAGCACAGTTAAATACAATATCTTCACAAGCGTGGTCAAACATGTAAAAATAACAACTTTCATTTGTTCAGTCTGTGCAATTAGGAGTATAACAGCCAATCTAAAAATAAATGATAAAGGAACTTGAAGCTGACAAAACTGATAGGTTGACTACCTTCATCAAACAGAAAATAAACTGCAACAAACCGTCTTCCAAATGGTTCAGAAACTGCAGTTAGGAATTCTGAATATGATGTAAAATAAATAATAAAGCTCAGATCAGTGCATCCAAAATCTTACTGATTCACATAGACGAGTTCAGGAACTGGGTCCAGTTATTCTCAAGTTAAACTTTTTGGTACAGAGGACCATTTTTTTTTCTGTCAAAACTATAACTCACATGCATGCTAAGGCATGTTGGGGCGTCTCTTTTAGCATCTTCTCAGAGACAGGCGTGGACAATGTCAGAGTTCTTCCAATTCATGTGTCTTCAGTTGGGTCACAGCTTCAGTTGTGTGTAGATGATGCATGGGCTGTGCACTGACGAAAGGCAGAGTAAAAGCACAAAATTCATGTTTTTTTGTAGATTTAGTTCTGTTGACAATTATTCCACCACCTGAATGAAACTCAGCATGTTTGGGGAGTAAAAGTAACAACAAGATACTAGCTATCTTTGCCTTGACTATATTTGCACAAATAAACGTGCTTGATAGAAACATGTCAATTAAGAGAAACGGTTGTTTTTTGACAAAAAGTTTTGGTAGTAGGATAAGGTGATTTTTCGGCCATATCAAAATTGGTTTATTTCCAAAACTACTATAAAAACACTTTTTCACATCACACAAGTCCAGTCGCTACTGCAGCAAACCACAAAGAAGAAGACAACATTAAGTAGTTGGAGAATGATGGCATTATGTTATTTTACGACTTATGTGAACAAAGTTATTCACACGGAATTTTCATTTCATTTCTCATTTAATATGAACACCATGATTGCAAAATGGTGTTTTTCCCCCCCAACCTCAGAAAATCAACAAACAGGGTAAATATTGTATTTTGATCATGAATACATTGACTGAGTAAAAAATACTTAACAGAAGATACCATTTTCAAAAAATGTACTCAATTACTTTTTGAACAACCAACTCACTCTAGTGTTTTCTCCCAAGTTTTGCTGTTGTCATTTTGCCACCCAGAGGAGTTTGGAGTACCGTAATTTGACGACAGCTGACGTAAACTGCTTGTGTGGCGGAAAGAAATTAATTTCAATTTGAAAGGCTAATAAATAGATTCATAAGCAGATCATAACAAATGATATTATATTTGTAATTTCTACATATTTTAGTCAATTTTATCAACGCATGATATAGTTCCAGTTAGCTGTAGTTTTTTCCCATTAATTCCCATTTTATGTATTTCAGCTAACAAAATGTTTCCTCAATATCAGTTTTTGTTATTTGATTCATTTTAGTTAACTATGATCATCTTGACAGCTGGACTGCTGCTGCTTGGCTGCTGTCAAGTCCTTGTCGGTACCAGCAGACACTGATAAGCTGTGGAATGTTTGTCTTGTAGTTAATGACTCACCAAAATTAATAATGCCAAAACCAAACGTGCAGGTGCAAATTTAACATATGTTGTATGTATGAAGTGAATTTTTACGAGTCATGTCATATTTTTGTGAAAGTCACAGGAAGGACTGTTTTTGTTTCAGTCTTCACATTAATAACGAGGCCATGTGAGCACAGAGATCAGTTACAGTTTAACCAGCATGACACCCATGCAGCTTCAGGTTTATCTGCTTATTTTAGATTAAAACAAACCAACCTAGCCTCTGACTAATGAATGGAAACGCTGATCATGATACAGACCCATTCAATAAGTAATTGTAAAACATGATTTATTTCAGGGACGTTAACACTAAGTGAAAGTCTTTTGAAAAACTTTGTAAACCATTACAATTTTCCAAATAAGATATGACATTTAAAATTAGAATAATACGTCATATCAATAAATACAACTATTTTAAAAACAAAAATGTGAGCTTCCTGAAAAATATGTGTACAAACCTGCTTAAAGTTTTTTGTTTTTTTCAAATCGTACTTTTAAATATCAAAGGCTTGCAGGACATTCAGCTTTCTGTTTCTGTAAGAGACATTCTAGGATGACATAAAATACAATTTACTTGGTCAGTATTAACAGTTGTGGAACTGTAACCAAGCAGACTTAATAACTTGCTTAGTAAAAATTACAAAAATTATGGGGGACATATATAATCAGAAGCATAATCAGTATCTAAAAAAGCAACACTTAGTTTTGAACTTTAAGAAAAAAATAGAATAAGAATGTAACATATGCACTGTATATGTCTTCCACTTGTCTTTTAGTGATCCAAAAGAAAAGCTATAATGTGAAAAATATTTTCTTAATTCTTCACTCACTTTCATCCAATAACAATTGACAAAGGTAAGCTTTTTGAAATGTTAGTCTTGACTTTTACATATATTTTCCTTTAAATTGGCATGTAGTGTCTATAATTTCAAAGAACGTCTTGATTATTGCATGATTTGTACAATGCCTGTGTAGTACTGAATTGTTCTTGATTCAATGAATATCTTAGCTGGATCTCAATAACTTGAATCATTTGTAATTGCTTACAGTTTTCATCAGTCAGTGTCAAAATGGTCTCGTCTTAGTTCTTAAGGACCCCAACACTTCCATAGCTGAAGTCGTTTGAGAGACTAATAAGTAGCATAAATAAAGAGTCCTTATACTGTATGTCTTGCCTCACATCATGACTGCACTGAATTTTATACTGTTTAACTTTGTTTTTTTGAGGCTCTGAACACAATTTTATTGTGATCCACAGTAACATGCCTTACTTTTTGCCTATTACTTAATATTGTAAATTTGGTTTTGCTATAATTTAATAACTAAACTATTTCTTTTGAACTATCAGTTCCTGTTAACTTTACAGTGTTTACTAGAGTGATATAGTGTAATATAATGTAATATAATAACTTTCGGCCCCTAAAAGAGTTAAACTGCCATTGGATTAACAAATCCAGATGAAAGTCTCAGACTTTCTGCTGTAGAAACCAGCACTATTTTTTTTTTTTTTTTTTTTTTTTTTTTTTTTTGACTATTCAATCTGATTAGCAGAGGCTGAAGAATTTGGGTT